ATAGGTGAATTATCAAGCAGATGAGCCAAAGTTGCATTAGGATGATCGTGAATTTTAGTATGATGTCCAGTACTGGTATTCTTGATGACATCCACTACAAAAGGGATGTTGAGGTCATGCAAGTTGTTTCGGATGGTCTTCCAATCTTGCCTTGAACTAATTGGACGCAAGCCTTTTATTTATATCTGTTAGTATTCATATATTGCAGTCTTGGTGGATCACCCAATTTTAGACATACATACTTGGGTGCCTCTAATATTTTGACAATGAACCTTGCCAATTGAATTTCTTATCTTGATTATATCCGCTGCACCAAAGTTATTCTAATAAGCGCAGTATCAGACGAGAAATAAACTATAAAATTAATTTGCATTATAAAAATCTTATGTGGAATTAGAAAAGTCTGTAAAATTCCTTTGTTATTAAAGCTTCAGAGAAAAATGATATTAAAGAGACGCTTTATAGTTTTCAATTTATATATATTATACTTATTTATTGTTAGTTTTACAATTTCCATACAGGAAAGAATATATAATATACTAGATGATCCGACAGACGTCCTGTATCCATGTCTACAATTTTTAATATAATATACCAATATTTACCGTTTACCTAAACATAATAATTATTGTTTTTTAAATTACTCTTCACGCCAAAATGCATATACATTTATTATTAAATGTAAAACTGCTTTAAATAAAATGATGAGTCTCAATTACTACACTATATTGGAAATTAAAGTTTTTTAAACGATATAATATAACCATAACCATAACATTACACTGGTACTTTATGTTGGATTAAATTAATTTAACTGTTTATTATTTAGGATGTCCAAAATTGCATCTTAATCGATATCGTGAGGGCCGAATTGTATTTATTCATTTTTACTTTCCCATTTGTTGTTATAAAGTGAAATTTTTACGAATTTTAAAAATATTGTGGAAAAATTAGTAAAAGATGCAAAGAAATTATATAAAGAAATAAGGCGTGCGCTCGTATTTTTCGCATGCATCGCATTAAAGGTAGAACTGGCCCTGATTAATACTTAATTTCAAATTCGAAGTGAATTAATTTGTCATATTCTGTTTATAGGTCTATCATTCAATCTGCCATACATATACTATATTTCATATTACTTTAATTTCTGTCATATCTCAGCTTCTTTTTGGCAATAATAATGTACACATTTCATTTTTCTTATTCATAATCATAAATTTATTATACATATTCTAATATTGTCTAGATTCATAAGTAAATTGAAATTGTTGGCAGATGATAGTTTTCTTTTATTTTATTTATTTATGATATATCGTTTATTCATTTTTTTTCTATTTATTTCTAGAATATTGCACATACATCCCAGTAATTTATATTCACATATATCCTAGAAAATTTCCTTAAACTTTAAAAAGGAGTACATAGTGAGTGCTTGTAATTTAATTAGAATTTTATATAATAGCAATAAAGCTCAAATTGATTCTACGTTTTAGTTATAAAACGTTTGTATGAGAAAAAGAAAAGGGTTGTTTTTAGGGTTTTCGCGGCAATTATTCGATTTTTTCTCGCCGTAGGAACCATCCTTGGACTTCGACGAACATTTTAAGAAAAGAATTGGCCAAATTGGTCCAGGCGTTGTTGAGTTATGTGCTTACCAACACATTTTGCGATTCATTTTTATATATAAGATTTTATTGAAAAAAACAAGTGAACACCTTTTGAAATTTTTATGTTTAACTATCATGCTAAAGTAATAGATTCTTCTGCAGTAATATTATTAAAACTAGATTATTTTAATCGTGATAACAGTAATTGCAATAAGCATGCAATAACATTTAGGTCCTGTTGATAAAAGTGTATTGATTAATTTTAAAAACCCAATTTTAAACAACTATTCAAACTATTCACATTCTGAAAATTAATGATAATTCACTTAACCATTTTTTCACGGGACGACAGATATTACCCAGCGTTTTGTACTATGCATACAAGTCAATTTGTTCGTTTGTTTATTAATTTTATTTTACCAATATTTGTTTATAGACCTGGAATTTCTACCAATTTGTCTTATTTAAGGCATTATCCATTTATCGCTTATGCGTACGTAATTTTATAGTGGTTTAAATTACCCAGGGATCTGAAATTACAATATGCAATATCATACATCACGTTTGATTTCATGGCACGACGATGGATGTTCTTGATGGAATTCTGTATTTCTACACCTTTTTCCGCACAATGTGGCGATATAATTATTATTATATTATCTGATCTAGATCGCTCGTTAGCACAATGGAATTGTGTGGGAAATATCCAGTTATCCGTTAGGCACATTTATTTCTCAGATATGCAAGAGGCTGAGACGATGAATAAAGTGGAATTAACTGATTTCTTCGCACATTATTCTAATTGTAAAAACATTGCGAGCAATGTTTTATTATTATTTTTTGGTAAAAATAATACTTATAATTTAAACACACAATGATTTATAAAAAAAAATCTGATAAAAACACACGGGGATCAAACATTTAATGGGAATTTACAACTAAGAATTGAGAATTTAAAATTGAGAACATTATATGCCAGCAAATTTTTTAATGAAAGTTCATTTAAATTTTATAAAACGTGCATGGATTAAAATCATTGATAAATTATTATCTCTATCATTTTATGAAACTACTATATTAACTTACTAATATAGCATAATAACTTTTGATACATTCGACTCAATTTCTGAAAGAACTCGAATTTTAAAAATATTTATATCTAATCAAATACTCGAATAAAAAAATTTAATATCAACACCCTTACTATTAATAAATGTAAAGATTTAATGAATGTAAAGTATTCCTTAGATTTTATATATGAATTCTAATGAATTACTCATTATTTTATCTATATCTAAGTTTTTTTGTTTGATTTAGAATATTCACATATATTCATTAGCAAATTCATTTAGATTGTTCAAAAACATCGGTTTTTTGATGTTTTGGTTTTAATGGAGGCTTCCGAGATACAAGAGAGAAAGGGATAAAATAGTCATTATTGAACTAAAAATGAGTTATTAATATACCTATGCATCTTAAAACATGCTCAAATTTTTTTTATTGAGTTTTTAATACTGAGCATACATTTTATACATTAAATTTTGAATTTCATATAGAGAACTTGTAAACTTGTAGCCTTTTGAAGAATCTAAACAAAAAATTTCTCAATTATTTATTTATTTATTTAAATATATAGCCCACAGATTTCTCCAAGAGGACTCAAAAATACAATAATTTTACATAATGAATAACAATTAAAATATATACAAAATTACAATATATAGTTAGTAACATAAAATGCTTAAGATAAAATTACATACAATGCAGAATGTAACAATATTATTTATAAACAGAATAAGAAAATAATGAGATATTTGAAAAGAAAATAAAAAGGTTAACTTGTGTAGATGGAGATTATTTGATTAGGTGAAGTGTTGTGAATATCTATTTCATTATTAATTAAGTTAAAGTTAGAGGACATAAGTAAAATTGGCGAATTTAAGAGAGAATTAGATTTAGGAGTAGGATAATTGAAAAATAATTGTGAACGCGAAGATAGCCTTGGAACATTAAAGGATAGTTGATTAAGAATAAGAGGACAATCTATAGAATTATTGCAAAGCTTAAATAAGAACATAATTGTACAGATAAATCGACGTGAGGCAAGGGTAGGAATACCAAATTCTTTTAGTCAAAGCCACGTTCAGGGTAAATTTTATATGTTTTATAATAAAGGTATTTCAGAAATTTTCGCTGAACCTTTTCTATCGCATCAGAGTTGTTGATTTGATGAGGATACCAAATAATCGAACCGTATTCTAATTTTGAACGTACAATAGAATAATACATGCAAATTATATTTTTTTCCTCTATTCTGTATCAATATTAATAATGATATCATTAAACTTGCTCTTGCCCTTTTATATTATTTCGTATTATGCACATCCTTCTACAAATTTAAACATCAGTTACAAACTAATAAATAATAAAGTTTATTAGGCCCAGAGATTCATTATTTTTACAAAATTATCAATTAATTAAAATTGATTGAGACGTATCGTATTATCGTCATTCAAAATTATCGAAAGATGAGCTCAATAATTATAAAAACACGTCTTAGCATTCATCAAGACACAACATTAAATTATTTTAGCATTCCTTTATTTGTATTTTATACTCGGTTGTTTTGTTATTTAATTGTAAAATTGTGAATTGTATATCTAATACATCTAATACAAGAAATACAATTAAATGACGCAACTTTATTGACTTGTAGTTTTCAAGTAAGTTTATATTTTATTAAGCCATAGTCTAATAATGAACTTTTTGACTTCTATATTTTTTATATTCATGAATTAGGTTCTACATGGCTTATAGCTTTATTTGAGGTAATTATTAACTTAACGTAGGGTAGGTTATTGTAAACGTCCAAAAAATTGAAATTGAAAATTTTTTACATTTCTTAACATTTTCAAGGTTTCTGAACATGGATGTGCGTGGTGTGAGTGTGTTTGTATGTATGGATACAATTTTTCGTCCACGTTTTCGGGCGCACGGATCAAATCATTCGGGCCACGTCAAAGGCAGGTCCAGCCGTTTCGGAGATACGGAGCAAGGAGTGCAGAAAATAAAAATCGGGTTTTTAAGAGAACGGAGAATCAGATTTGAATGATCAAAAAAACAATCAATTCGTAATGATGAGGAGAGAAAATATCATTTTTTATTTAATTTTCGAAAAAAAATTTTCGAAACGATGTCATACGCCGCTAGTTTTATGCCAAGATTCGTTTATTTAGAAAATTTAAAAAGGTGCTACATATAATTTTGAGGGTGTTTTTTCAATCTTATAATACATAGATTAACTATGTACATTTTAATATGTAAGTAGGTACTTATATATTCATGTCAAATATTTGTATGAACTTTATAGACAATATATTTTTTATATATTAGATGAGTTCGCAGACGACAGTGACGAAGATCTGGTGATGGATTACTTATCGGTATCTGGTGGCGGAGTGGGAACTGGAGGCATGGCCGGCGGGAACGCTTCTGGTGCGGTTCCGCCGGCCGCTCACAGCAGCCCCTTGGTGCCGACCATCAGCGTCACACCACATTCTCCGAGTGGCAAACAGTATCCGGTATTAGGTAATTAATATTGATATTTGTACTTTTGATTCAGTTATCAGAACTTCTGTACGCAATAGTCAATATTAAGTGAAACTTTAAAAATATAGCTGCTGAAAAATAACAGGGTATATCTAATGCATAAACCACTTTAAAGTTATGTACTAATTGTAAAATTTAGTTTATTGAGATTTACTATAAATTACTCGAGAGAGACCATGAGCTTTGAGAGCAGATATTTAAATGAAATGATTGAACGATATATCTATCAATATTTGATTATACTTGCAGAGCCAAATAATGAATACCAATTGAAAATCATTTGATATCTTTAATAGCATTAGTAAGTTTTCAATAAAATTGATTTGTGTATTCTATCATAAAGGGGCACAACTAGTGTAACCGCCTAAAAAAATGTGATTTTTGGGAATTTATATTAAAAAAACTACTTTATCAATCATTTCAAAATTTCAGGAATATATTTATACATGTTTTAAGAATACACAGTAAAATTTTTGAAGAAAAAAATTAAATATTTTTCAAGTTATCGTCGATCTCCAACGGCGCAACACAAAAAGGCCCTTCACTGCTGCAGTGATTCCGACGTGGATAAAATTTAAAAAATAAAATTCTTGTTAAAATAGATAATATTGTCTGTAAAATGAACGACGATAAAGAAAAAAAAAGAAAAATTCCAAAATGACGGCGTTTTTTAAAAAAAAGTCTGACCCGATCAAAAAATCGATAGTTCATTTTACAGAGAACCATATATAGAATATGTAAAAAAAATTTGGTAGTGATCGGATCATTTGTTTTTGAGTAATCGCTGCAGCAAATTCGGAAAATGCTATTTCGAGAAAAACGCGTTTAAAGATAAAATGATCGTTATACTATATACTATATATATACTCTTTAAATGGCTGTGACACAAAAACTATTTAAGATATCGATTTAAAATTTTGGTATGTTACTTTTAAAGGTATAACCTATCGAAATATGGAAAAATTGAAAATTCGATTTTTTGAAAATTTTACACTAGTTGTGCCCCTTAAACCTATTTGCACGTGTATATTGGCTTAATTCATTGTATTTTAAAATTTCAGAAGAGGCGCTTATAGACTTGCAGACAATAAATGCGGCCGTCAAACAGATGAAAATCTCACAAAATCAAACTGTTTTACAAAGTCCTCCTGTGAGTAAATTTTTATATTTAATAAGTAAGCTATGTTGTTCTTTCTGTTGAGTAAATATAAAGCTTTATTTTTATTTGTAATATTCTTGTAAATTGCTTGCATTGACAAAGTATACATAATGCAATTGCAATTATAGTGCTCGAGAAAATTTGTTTTGAAACGGTTTAACATTGGGTATTTCTTATTTTTCAGAATTGTTATTAATACTATCAGAGTTAGTAGATTTGTTATATTATATTAGCCACTATTATTATTTTTTAAAACTAAATTATATAAACTCAATTATATATTAATAGGAAAGTTGAAAGTATTCAAATATTTGTATAATACTTCAGAAGCTTATATTTATTAAACTTTTTAAGTCAATTTTTTCATGCAAGTTTAATTGTGCATTTGAAATTATTATGATATTTGTTGAACAAAATGTGTTAATTTTATCGATTGCTTTTTACTTTGTTTTATTTCTAAAAAAAATCATAAAGGAAATATTGTTACCATATTATTTTGACAAAACATTTGCGCTAAATTAGATAAATGCATCATTTGTGCTAGTGATTTAACCCTTTCCACTCGCAAATTCCGAGATTTATATGAATTTTGCCATCGGAACGCTGTCATCCGAGTGGAAAGGGTACAGCAAATATCTTATGAGCAAAGGGTAAAGCATCCGAGAGCAAAGGGTACAGCAAATGTCTTATGTACTTGTTTGCTGAAGGTCATTTATCAAAAATGAAGGTACTAGGATATCCTATTGAAACAATTCCAATGAAGAGTTCGAAGTTTCCAAATATAATCTGTCTTGAATGAATGTTTGAGTGAATTTATTTATTATTGAGTTTAGCATAATTTAATTTTTAATTGTCTTTATTCTATATTTATTATGACAGAGTTTGGAATTGTCAGCTCGCTTGAGCGCCTCTTGCCCTTCATTACCGGATTTAGTTAATTGTACTGGTGCAACTTGCACTGGTAGCGCAGGCGCTGGTTTCTGGGGAAGCACTGGTCTACCTTTGGGCACTGGCGGACCACCTGGACAAGAACGACGCTCATCATGGACTGCTCTAGAAGACCTTAGGGTCGATAAAGCCAAAACACATCGCAGGTTCGTTTTATATAAAAACACTCATTATATTCAACACTTATTGGTAGTAATATTTAGAGATAAGCATTTTAAAGCATTGAGTTGTATACGGCAGAAGTACTATATTATTATTATACGACTTTTCCAGAGTCGAAATTATTTCTTTACTTATTTCTTAGCTTTTTCAATATATGCCACATACATTATGACGGTATATTATAATATATGCGTATATAATTTAACAATATTGTTTGTGTTTTTCTATGATTTTAGATGTTAATATTAATCCTTTATTACTATGATTTTTATACGAGATATTTATCAAACTACAATTATTATCATTTGTTTTAAAGGATCCTTGATGACATTATATTTCGACAAATTTCGAAATATACATTTAAATTTAAAATTTTAATTTGAAATATTTATTTTATTATGAATTTGTCTCCAATAAACTTGAAAAGCTGGTTAAGCATGTGCGTTGTATATTCAGCTTAAATTTAGATGTAAGCATATTAGATTTTAAAAAATTCTAATTATATTTTATGTTACATAGAAAAATCAAAACATTAATGCTAGATGTTATTTAAGATTTTATTCGTATTTCTTATCATTTAAATTGAAATATACAAGAAAATACAAATATTTGAATATCTATTACATGTATCTAAAATTTGTCACAAACTGTCTGGAATAAAAGTTAATTATTTAATGTAAAGTATATGTATTATATTTCCAGCATAAGTTTAAGTAGTTTGGACTCTGAGCCTGATTCTTCTATGACTGATACACAAACGGGACCTGCATCAAATGTAAGAGCAATTGCACATCATAGAAGTCGAGATCCACGTTCCGCTGGCGGTATTTCAACACATTCTTTGAACGAGGCTGATCTACAGGTTTAAATATGATTTTTTTAAAAAAATTCATATTACAGAAGATTATATTGTGTATGTAATGTTTTTGTTATATTTACTTTTAGAGTGATTTTAATAAAATAATAGTATTACGAGAAGCGCAATCAAGGCTAGCTCCAGTACGTCTACCTTTACAAAAATCAGTTTCTACACCCAGCATTGCACCTTGGACTGAAAATAATGTTGAAACGCAAATGCTTCCAGTTTCCTCAGGAACAATGTCAACGTAAATCTACTATTTCTTATATTTATACTAAAAGTATCATTACAGCTAATCATGTATTTTATGTATATGCCAATGATATATTTTATGTATATGTGTAAATTTATTTTAGGGGGCGTACTGGTACGGAAAGTGAAACTGAAGAAGATTCAGTACAAGATAGTAGGAGGCATACACAACCTGCGGCTGCTGACCTGCACCGATTGCTTGCACAGTAAAATATTCACATATTTATCTACAATTATTTATGCGCTTGATTTTGATTCAGTTCTTAAATTGGAAAATTATTTCTACTTTTTGCAGATCGTATGACCAGCATTCGGAGAAACGCCGCAAACGTGGTAGTTTATTCTTTAGGAAGAAAAAAGACAAGGATAAAGAAAAAGAGCAACGTGTATTGGAACGTGTACATCATGTTTGGGGTTCTACTATCACTCAAGGTTGTTGTGATTGGTGCTCGAAGCAACTTGGCACCAAGCCGCAAGTCACGTGTGAAAGTAAGTTAACATCTAACCTCCAAGTTAATAATGTTATGTTATAAACTTAACATTAAATTTCTCCAAACAGTCATCAAACATTCACAACGTCAAATATTTTTGTATATAACGTTTTTTGAGGTTTATTTTCTAACAGGATTTCATCATACCCGGACGCCAAATCATTGAATAACAGCAAACATTTTTAATTGAAGATGAATATCTATTTTTAATTTAGTACCATAATTTCTTAGAAAAAATCTTATATTTTCATATAATTATTAGATAGAATCATAATTTAAGAGTTTATATTTTATTGTTATATTTCAGATTGCGGAATAACTGTGCATTACAGTTCATGCAAGGATCATCTTTCCGATTGCAAAGGCAAAATGTCTAAGGTATTGTGAGAAAATAAAATAAGTGGCATTTTGCCTTAAGTTGTAAATGATTGACTTAATTAATAGGAAATCAATATATTAATTTATGAGTGATTTAGAGTTGCTGCAGAAAATATAAAATTAGCAAATCCGATTCTCTCGCCAAAATTTAAGAGGGTACTCTTGTGTAGAAATTAAAAAAAATCGTTTTATTTTTTGTTTCATATTTTCAAAGTTTAATTATCTAAGAATATGGATACGAGAAGGTTTTTGAAAATTTGAATTATTTTCAGAGATATAGGCATTTTACTGACTCGGTCTTCATACTGGTTTGGCTTCACGCAAAACTTTAAATGCGTTTTTCTCAGAACAGGCTTTTTCAGTACTGTTGACACGATTTCTCTAGTTTTAATCGACCGACTTGAAATATTCAGAGAGTCTTGTTTATAGACCTATCTATAGCCTGAACTAGGATTATCCCCAAATTCCAATTTTTACTATTTTTAAAAAAATCGAGAAACTCAAAAAAACAGTAAAAAAAGCACTTTTTTTTACAGTCGCCAATTTTTTTTAAAAAAAAATTTTTACTCATCGCTAGTTCAGGCGATTGCCACATCATTGTAGATTAATAATCTATTTATTTTTTGCATTTCCGATGGCTAGGAGGGCTGAAATCATGTCAAGACTGAGGTGCTAATTTTTTGAGACTACCCACTTTATCAGCTGCCGGTTTTCACAATTTTCAACTTTTTTATTTTTTAGTTTTCGTTTTGTATTTTAATAATATTAATAAACAAGTGGTAAAAAAATGGACAGTAAAAATATTCATTGCTTTCTTTTATGACACTTTAAAAATGACCTAAAATTCATCGCTCTACACTAGAATACCCCCTTAAACATTTTCTTCTGGAAGTTATAACATAAAAATAAAAATAAAGCAATACTCACAGAATTTATTAATCATCTATAAATAACTTCAACTTATAATTGCATTATTTATAGCTTTCTCTCAAATCTTCCACAATCGGCGCATCTATTCAAGCTCGCAGACAAAGCTCGGGAAAGCGCGGATCTTTCACGCAAGCTCCACCAAATAGGTAATAATTTTTTTTTTATTTAACATGCATGGCGTCCGTGATGTTTTTACATTGGCATAACAATTTATTCCTTATGATTGAATAAAAGACATATATATTAATATTTGAATCAAATTTTTACATATTCTTTAATTAATTATAATTAGTTGCATAATGCTATTACCACATTTTTAAGTCGTTCTAATACATTTGGTTTATTAGAATCTTGCATAAACTCGTACTAATAATAAATTCAGATTATTTTATATTTACTAGTATTATTTTGGGTAAAAATACAACTAATTACTGCTTTTGGTCCACATAGCTTATGTAGCTTTAATTGTGCATCTTAAAAAGATTTATGCTTTGTTTAATCTTTTTATTAAATTTAAGAAGACAATTATTAAATTATCTTTTGCAATTTTGTTATAAGTTTAAGAATTATTAAGTGCATGTACATAAAATCACTTGAATATCTAGAGAGAGACATTTAATTGGTTTTATCATTAGATTACTTTCATATAGTTTTGATTTTTGGAGATAGAAAATACATTTTTGAGAAGCAGAAAGTTGAAAACCAGAAATTGTACTAATCTTTAAATTTATTGAATTTATTTATTGATACATTTTTCCACGAAATATATGGGTTTTTCATACATTAATTACAAAATTATGAGAAAATAATCTCGTAATAAATAATTAATTTTCATCAGAGATTAGTATATCCGAAACACGTTTTGCCAGGATACTTCACAATTTCCACAATAAACATAAATCAATTTTAAAATAATAATGTCAAATTTAAGATCTTGGGCTTTATGTAAAAGTAATTATTGGTAGCTTTGTATATATGGTAATATATAGTATTGTTGAGATTTATGTGACTACCCAAAAATTATTTTTTTTCTTCCTGCATAAATAAGTAATCAGTTATGTAAAACAATTATTTTTACACAATTGCATTTATATTTAAATTCCTGGTCAGCACATTAAAAATCTTTGTGTTTATCCATCATACTTTTCTGAAACCTCACAGTAAGAAGGTGACTGGATGTTATTCGCCATGGCGTAGGGTTGCCACAAAATTGGGTGTTAAGTAAGTCCCTAACAAAAATAAATTTTTCAACATTCTTTCTTCTTCTTTGCATTTGAATGTTTGAATCGAATAGAATAGGTCGTTTTTATGAGTTGAAGTGTACATTTTATCTTTCTCTCTTCAGAATCCTGCATATTTATACTAATGTTGTGATTTATTATAATCGTATATATACATATAATTTCAGTTGTCCCTTGTTTTTTCAGTATTTTTTATGATCTTTTATTTTATTTTGTAATTAACAACTTTTCGTTCCATGATTAATAATAATTAATAACAATTAATAATAATTTTTGCTCCAATCAATCTTTTTATACATTTGAGATTTAGTTCTATAAGTTATTGAATTTTAGATATTTCATTTTACATTAAAATGGGAGAGGTGGGTTATATGCCTCACTTAAAAAAATATTTTCTAGTATTTTAACGCATAAACATCTATTAATGTATTCAAAATCTAAATATACTATCGATTAGTTACTATCGAAAAAATGTGTATTTTATTAGCATATAAAATATACACGAAACATAAAACATACTTGTATTTTGATATAAGTAGCCACATTGGGCAAGAAGTAATTACCTTCTAAATAGTATTTTAAATTGAAATGCAGACACACTTGCGCTCTCAGATTCATATTGGTTAAATATCAATCGTTTCAGCTTTGAAGAATCTGATATTATTTATTTGGTATTGGACGTTTAGTAATAACAGCTTGATAATAATGGGCTCAGACTCAACTTTACAGTTTTGTCTTCGAATATGTTGAGATTAAATCAGACAGCTTTTTGAACAATCAAACAGTTGCCTAAATAACGATTCTTATTACTAAAATCTCAATATTGAACGATCGATCAAAATATAGATAATAGCAAACAATTTTGGTAATATTCTAATGAGGCATCTATCCCCACTTTATCCTAATGCAAGTATAAATCATTTACGTATCGGTTAAGGTTTCTTGACTTCCTTAATGTATAACTAAAGTTAATGTACTATCTAAAGTTTCTATGTAAATTTGGAATATCATTTCTGCTTATTGTTTCGGGGAACGATTTCTGTTTCTATATTAATTGGTTGACAACTATGTATCTTCTGTCTCTGTCAAGAACACATTTTTCATAGGCTTGTTTCTAATGTTAGTATGTTAATGTTAATTTTATATTGATTAGTACATAAGTAAATAAATATTAATCATTTAGAAGTTAGCTTCGCTGAAATGACATTTTTTCTATTAACATAATTCAGTATTTTTTCTAGTTTCTATTAATCTAATTGGATGATTTACTTTATCTTCCATATATGTTATTATTAACATTTAGAAATCTATCAATTGTTAAATCTATTTATAATGATTTGGTTTCATGCGATTTATTGCAATAATTAATCGAAGTGTTTCGTGACAAGTATAACTATTTTTAATTGTTAATGTTGTATCTCATCTTACACAGAACTACATGATACTGTTTTTCACTATCTCAGGTAATGAAGTCTTTAGCATCTATTAGATCTACAATCTTTGGACTATATTACTATAATAATGTTTTTTATAGTATTACTATTGTATTTTTGCTGTATATATATATATATATATATATATATATAATTTTCAGGTTTATCATTTGTGTTACTTGTTAAAATTGATTTGTTAGCATGTATAAAACGCACAAATGCGCAATTGTCTTGCAACCTGGAACTTGTTCATATTTAGCTTTTCTTTAATTATTTGAATGTTTTTGCAGCGGGCATGATGGGGTCGATATCACTTCACACGCTAGCCATGATGGAGTAAAGTAAGTTTTGACGTTATTTACTTGAAGTAATTAATTAAAAAATGGATTTTGAGTTTTTATTCAGTTGTGAATATCAACTAAATGAATCATTTCATAATTCGAACTATACAACTCTTTTACTGATATTTTCGCTTATATTAAAATATTATAAATTTCTTCTTCGGTGCTATTGATTGAATAAAAAGTTTTTCAAATAATTTACTAAATTTGATATTTTTTATTTATTCGGCAGTTTTTCGGATGATGCGCCACTTGTGCGATTTGAATTTTTGGAAGAAGCTCCAATAGGTGCTCGAGAACTTTGTTCTGACCCTTTGCTGGCCCTATGCGCTGATGAGCCTGATTCTTGGACTCCTACTACAGCCCGCGAATTGTTGAAACAATTGAAAGATAAACAAATAAAACGTCAAGAACACATATATGAATTTATACTTACCGAAAAGCATCATTGTTTGACGTTAACAGTAATGCAAAAGGTTTGATTTTGTAGAATGCACAAATTGTAATGTAACCATTTTGAACATACATTTTTGAAATATTGCTTCATTTGTTTAGGTCTTTGTTGAAGGTCTTCAAAAGCATTTTCAGCTAGGGGCAAATCTAGATCGAATGTTTCCGAGGTTACAGGATCTAACTGATTTGCATCTAGGGTAATTTAAATTTGAACTTATTTATAATTAACTATATAAATGTATATAATATTATCGTGATTCTCTTGTTGTAGTTTTATGCGTAGATTGCGCACTAAACAACAGGAAGGACCTGTCGTAGATTCATTGGCTGACATTTTATTAGATATGTTTTCTGGAGTACAAGCCCAAAGACTAAAGGACGCTTACGGTAAATGAAATACAGAGTTCTGCATAATATTTTGGAAGTTTGAATTAATGACTTTTTTTAATCGGTCGAAAGTATATATGCAGCCACATTGCAAATTAAATTTTTATTACAGGTGAATTCTGTTCCCGACATAGAGATGCTTTAGAAACGTATAAGTATTATATGTCCGCTGATCCAAGATTTGTGGAATTCATAAGGCATTGTCAAATAACACCGCAATTGAAAAAGAAAGGTAACTAATAAAATCTTGAATTTAAACATTTATAATTATCAGTTTCGGATATACAAGAGCAATGGTGTTGAAAAAACGTAAATTGCGTGACTCGTAAAAAGATTTCTAATTTTCTGACAAAGTTATAAAAGCCAAATTTATATTAATCATAATTTAATGATTTTAGAACTTTCTAAAAATACTTAATTATAAAGTAACGGACTTTACCATAAGGATCTCAAATTTTCATAGTCTGCTCAGATTAAACGAAAATAAATTTAATCCGAGTTGTTATTGAAAGTTATAAAATTGCTTTTAAAATATATTATTATTATTTTTTTAACCATTTCAGGTGTTCCTGAGTGCATACTTTTTGTCACTCAACGATTAACCAAATATCCATTGCTAATTGAACCTTTAATTAAAAGTTCAAGAGATAATCCGCAAGAGCAGGAAAAACTAAGAAATGCTTTGGCTCTTGTAAAGGTGATTATTTTTATTATTATAAATATTATTTTTATTTTGTTAATAATAATAGTGAAATTTTGTGTGAGGGCTCTTTATCTGTAATGTATTGCTTAGCTTTATATATTAAGCAAATAAACAAAACCATGTTTTAGATTTTTACTGTGTAGATGCGTTACCTCATTTTTTTAAAATCGTTTTCATGTATTTTGAAGGAAATCTTAACGGAAGTGGACGCTCGGGTAGCTTTAAAGGAAAAAGAAGATCGTAAGTTAGAAATTTACAATAGGATAGATGCGAAATCGTACACTGTCCATCGTGGCATCAAATTTAAGAAGAGTGATATTCTTGCGGCAAATCGAACCTTGCGTTTCGAAGGTCTCGCCATGCTTATGCAAGGACGAGGCAAAATGCAACTAGTAATGGTGATAGTACTCAGTGATTGCTTATTTTTCTTACAAGAAAGTTCTCATAAGTATAACTTCTTCACGCCAGATAATAAGGTGAGTTTTATGAGAGTATCACCTCAAAATAATTTTTTGAATGTTAAGTAATTGTCTTAATGTATGTTTTTTTTACTTAAGGCTGGGGTTGTGTCTTTACAAAAGTTATTGGTTAGAGAAAAAGCAGGTCAGGATACTAGAGGAATTTATTTAATTTCTTCAAACCCTTTGGACCCCGAAATGTTTGAGTTGAAGGTACATCAGCCAAAAGATAAGACTGCCTGGATACAAGCCATAAGGTGAATAGATCTTTTACACTCTGTTCACATAATTGTATATTTTTGGAATTTTCATGATATTTTTAATCTAGAAATGCTGTTCAAGAATGTCCTCAACCAGAAGAGGAAGGATTTACTTTGAGTGCTGAAGAGCAACAAAGGTTACTTGAAGCGAAGCAAACACAGCTTCGTAATATTGTCTGTAAGTATATGCATTATTTAATTAATAATTAAATACATAATTCCATTCATTTATTTATTATTCATAATTATTTTTCACATAATTTATTATCATTTGTCTATATTTTTAAAACATAACATATAATTAATATTTTGTGTTCTAAGCTGGACCATCTGCAATTGAAGGTAACTTAAATCAATTTGAATTTGGCTTTTGAAGTATTTCTAAAAAAACGTTATGTTAAAGCTTTTATTTTACAATGAGAAGAACATATACATATATATTATATATATATATATATATATATATATATATATATATATAAATTTATAAAAGAATATTTGAAAATAGGGGCTCTGAGACAAAAAGATGTTGAACATGCCTTATTGCTTGAAGAGAAGATGGGATTGCAATTAAAACTTCTAGCAGCAGCTGGATTACAAGGTGTACCCGATCCACCACAATACAGACAGCTTGTAACAGATGCAGCAGATACTGGTAAGCAAAGTTACCAAATTAAAATTTGATACCATATTATTTATTAAGTCAGATTCGTCATTACTGAATCCAAAAATTACATAAAAAAATTAATATAAATATAAGTCCACAGAAACTTTATAATACCTTGTAAATTAATGATCTCTATTGATAAGATAAATATAATAAGTTAAATCAATTCTAACGCATTTATCCAAATGTAGGTCTCATCTGGCGAGAAGTACTTGGTGCTGTACAAGAAGTTAGTTTACTTGCCAATTCATTGTATGCTGCTGGCAGCAGCTTGTCCAGGTCAGTGTCTTCGGCTGGTGAAAGGCAAAGTAATGCTTATGAGTCGCCGACACTTCCGAAGCGTGCAGAAACATTTGGTGGATTTGACAATCCAAATCTCAGAGGTACGAAAAGTCAGCATGAATGCAAAACATTTGGATTTTGTTACATATTGCATTATTATATACATACATCAAATAATATTATTTTATATTTGTAAGGATAGTATTTCATAAATGGCGTTAATTCACATGTACGTTATTTATTTTAGGATTGATTAAAAAATTTCCACAAAAAGAAAATAGCTCTGAGAACGTTGATGGGCGCATATCTCACAAGCTACCTTTAGTGAGTATTGAATGTTTTGATTGTGTTGTATTCGCAATTAATTAATTGATGTAAAAGTGCTGAATATTACAAATTTATTGATGTATTGAATTTTACTAAAGGATCGTCTTCCGTGGAAAAGCGCCGTTTTGTCAACTGTTCCTATTGGAGTTCTTGAAAATCATGACAATATTGTGAATAATTCTCAAGAAACATCAGATCAAAATTCTACTTTTTCTGTGAAAGATATTAATCCAAATGATTCTCCTGCTTTATTATCATTAGGAAGGGAACAACAGAAAGCTGCAGTTCAGCTATCTCACTATGTTTATATGTTGCTATGTATAATATCACAACAAATGACAAGCATTAATAGGTGAAGAAATATTTTATCTTGTGATGTACTACTGTATAAATGATTATACTAAATAAACTACAAAAAATATTACTTTTAGTTTGCAAGCCCAAATTTCCGCATATCAGGGCACTGGTGCCCAACCGGGCAACGCTAAATATAAGCATAATGACCAATTAGAGGAACTCAGAAATTTACAGGATAAGTTGACAGTAGAAAAAGAGGCGTGGAATAGAGAGCGGATAATGCAGGAAGCTGAACTCAAACAAACGAAACAGGAAATATTAGCATTGCAGGTACAATCGCGTCTTAATTTTTTTTATATTTTAATATAATGCATAAAAGGAAATAAATTTGTTCTATCAATAGGAACATGTTAAAGCTGAACAAGAAGATGTGCGACAGCAACGTGAACAACTATACCGCAAAATGGAAGTATTGTCTAATCAGGGTCTTTTAATAAGCCCATCAGTGGCAATTCCAGCCGTGACACCTCCCGTAACTCAGGGAATATCTGTTGTTCAAAATATTTCAATGCCGATTGATGATGTTAATAAACAAGTAGAATCACCAGAAAGTAGTCAAAGTGGCCAAAAGTAAAAGTGGACAAAGTGGAAAGTGGAAAAGTAAGACTGATACTTTCATCATAAAAAATTTACACAGTTGTTACATTCATTCATATGACAAATACATATATATATGTATATACGTACATATAAATACGTATGTATATATACATTATATATATATATATATATATATATATATATATATATATTTGAATAGTCTTGAATTTGATGTTGATATGTATGTTTAATTTAGGTTTAAAATTCGGGCGTAACATCAATAAAAATAGTATGAGAGTTTTTTTTAAAAGTTTATTTAAAGCCATTATTCAGCCATTTATTCAGTCGTAATCAAATTAACTATGAAAATTAAAACTAAATGAATAATATGTAAGAAATTTCATAGAAAATGATAATAATAATAATAAAACACTTACAATTTTGTATCCTAATATAGCATATGCTATCACTAATTGCAAACTCTTTTATATCGGAGAAACTAGTCAAAACCTGAGTAAACGCCTTCGTCAACATAAAAATAACTAAAAAAATCCAAAGCAATTTAAGACGATGTTAACTGAGCATAATAAAAATTTAAACCATAATATAGATTTTTTCAACCCTAAATTTTTACATTTTGAAGAGAACGTAATTAAAAGAAGATTTGCTGAGGGATTGTTTTTGCAATTGCATAACGACAATACGGTCATAAACAAACGCTTCGACAATATGGCCCTGAACGAAACAAACACATGGTTTCTTAATAGTGTGTCAAAATTTCTTAAAAAATGACAAGATCTCATCGCTCTTTAAATTTCCCGTAAAATTTGAACACATGCTAAAAACTGCTTGAAGAAAAATGTGACATTTCTATCTTAAACTCCGAAGAGTAAATACATAGTTTTGACAACTTGTTGAGTTATCATGGTTATTAAAGTGTTTTTGTAATGTTAAAAAATATATATTTTATCAATGTTCACCTTCTCATACCATGGATTAATAATGGTTTCATATAATATATTAGGATACAAAATTGAAAGTGTTTTATTATTATTATTATTATTATTATTATTATTGTTTTTCTATGAAAATTCTTACATATTATTTATTTAGTTTTAATTTTTATAGTTAATTTGATTATCACTGAATGATGGCTATGATGCTAGCCGAAACGTATGGAATTTAAATAAACTTTTTAAAAAAACTCTCATACTATTTTTATTGATGTTACGCCCGAATTTTAAACTCAAATTAGACATACACATATATGTATGTATATATATATATATATATATATATATATATATATATATATATATGTAACCAATATCGAGCACTGTGAAATAGAAATGGGAAGTCTCACACTATTTTTTTATGAATCGATTTAGAGTTTAAATCTGCTCACAAACCTGTTCTAGGGCGGTACAACCCATTATATATATATATATATATATATATATATATATAAATAAATTCCAATTAAATTTTCATATTGCAGTTGGAGTAAGTCTGAAATAATATATATATATATATATAGCATTGTTAATACTGTTCATTAAATTAGATTTATAAATTCAAAATTATTAAGCAAATAGCAGAATTAAAATTTAAACCAGTGCTTGTCTAATCAACGTCCAAGTGAGATATCCATCTTCATATTATATTTCTATATTCACAGGCCCCATGAAGCCAAGTTTACCTTTGCAATTAATCAGCGCAACAAATCAACCTAAAGTACAACAGCAGTCCATCAAACAGCAAATACCGCTTAAGTTATCACATCTTTCCAATAGTAAGTCAAGCGCATCATCAACATCATCTCATGTAGTTACATGCGCCAATAGTAGCGTCCAGCAAATGCTGCCTATGAAACTAAGTCAGACACTAGCCAACTCTAGTGGACACGCGAGCGATGGAACCGGTTCGCTGTCCAGAAGATCAATCGGAGGAGGGGTAGCCTATCATAGGCTAAGTTCTGGTTCGCCTATTGTCGACGTAAGTTGAATTTGATTCACATATGATATCTTTTAAATGATATATTTTCGTTTTTGAAGTTATTGTTACAATTTCTTTAGATTGAATAACAAAAATTCCAGTTATACGTTCCCTGTTCACGAGTTGGAAAACCATCCGCTTTTTTTTGTGTTAACGTCAGACCAAAAAACAAAAAATGTGGTTTACCAAAGAGTACTTCAATGAAACGGATAATTGGCGGATTCACTTTCATTTACTTAGAGAAGTTCAACTAAAAAACACTTCATTTTTGTAATCGAAATAAATTCATTACTGTTGTGCAATAAAATCAAATTTTTCCTTTTCAAATATAAAACAAACAGAAAATTTCTTCATCTTTCTCACGAAACCATCTGGTGGCGAAACGGAGTTTGTCGGGTTTGCTAGTATATATACATGTATATATATATATATATATATATATATAATCTGATACTGATTCTATTTAAATTGAATTGAATAAAACAGCCAATGCATCGAATATACAAATGTTTATTTTAAATTTTTATATGTTTTGTGAGTATATGTGCTTTCATCATTCAGCTAAAAGAAATTTACAATATAAGGAAAAGTTTTAGAATTAAAAATAAAACATTTAGAAAAATTAATTTAAAAAAAAATTAAATTATACATACCAGACCAGGAAAAAGCACATGTTACTATCACCACAAATACAACAATTACATGCCAATACTCTAGGAAAACAAAAACAATTTGAAAAAGAACTGAAAAAGGTAAATGTAATAACGAATTTTAAAACACATGCTATGTTCCTACGCATAAATCGCAACGAACACGAGAGACGTACGACCGACAAGTGGTAAATATGACTAACACGAGTTTGTTTTAGAGGAAGAGGATCAATTAGGGGCGTAATAGAAAATCAGATTTACAGAGGTTAATCGAATTTTGATAGCTTTCTAAAAGAAAGCAAGAAGAACTGCGTTTATCACACAATTTGAATTTGAAAAGAATCCGAATCCTGTTTTTTTTTTAATTCAAAATTTAGTTAATATCTGTAAATCTGATTTTCTACTACGTCCCTGATTGATCCCCTTCCTCTAAAACAATGTCGTGTTAGTATTTCTACATTCGACGCATTGGCTGTATTCATTTCAATTCAACATATATATATATATATATATATATATATATATATTTGTTTAACATATTTTTTATATATTGCAGGCGATTCCCACGGGTGTTCATACCAGAACCGGAAGCAGCCCGGCTATGATGCAGGCCACACCTTCATCTGAAAATAATTCTGGTGCCAATTCACCAATTAGCACTCAAAATGCAGGAAGTAAACCTGGAAGGTAAACAATATTTTTTATTTATTGGTTAATGTTTTCATTATAAATTTATATAGTTTTTAACAAATGTTCATAAACTTTATGGTAGAACAAACACTTATCCAAAGATACCAGAAAAATTCAGAACGCGCGGGTCGCAATCATCTGGAGCTCCTGAAGAAGAAGTTATGTTTTTCTGAGGGTCTCTGAACAGGTGTGTTCGTCATGTATTATCAATCGTTAGAATTAATTTGAGAAAAAATAATAAATGATTTATTTGTATTTTATTTATCTATGGTTTGCTGGCAACTTACAATTGAGAACATCAGCTATTTCTTATATGACATAATGAATAATCAAACAGATTTAGTAGCTCTGCTATGAAAACTTTTATTTTTAATAAAAGTTTTATATTTAATAAAATTACAGAACTTTATGCAATTTATCATAGTTTTTTGATAATATTGAATTTTCTGGTTGTTAGAATCAACAAGTTCATATGAAGGATTTTTTTATTTAGTCTGTAAAGGTAATAGAAATAACATATTGATAACACAGTTTAACGTGAAATTGTTATAGTTATGACATTAATATTACTTAAGTAATATTTCATCTCATGAATAAACAATTCTAAAAATATATTTTACAACATTAAATATATTTAAATTATATATATATATATATATATATATATATATATATTGTATGATTCGGAATTTGATGTTGACATATGCATTAACAAAGTCTAAAAATCGGGCATAACATCAATAAAACACATGAATTTCTTTCAAAAATTTTACATCCATACGTTTCATTCAGTATAATCCTAGCACTCATTCAGTTTTAGTTTCCACTGAATAAAGGCTAGGAAATGTATGGATGTAAAATAAATTTTTGAAAGAAATTCATGTGTTTTTATTGATGTTATGCCTGATTACTAGACTTTGTATATATATATATATATATATATATATATATATATATATATATGTATGTATATATATGAATGTAAAAAGGAATGTGTATATACAAGTTAAACGAGTAAAATTTTTGAGAAGATAGTTATTTTGTTCTAAACATCTAGTACTTGTATGCATAATGTCATATATGTGTAAACCTCAAATATATTTCTATTTTTTCTAGTCTAAGCCTTTCCAATAAATCAGTTTTTTCTACAATCATAAAATAATAATTCATTCTAAATAGGGTTGTTGAATATACTGTACTTGTTATTTTCAATAGTGTCTTATATGTCAAATGATATAATATATTATATAATGATAACATAAATAAAAAATACAAAGAATCTATTTCTTATTTTCAAAATAATAGACACATAAGTTGTTGATGTTACACATAAAAAAAATAATAAACTATAATGTTAAAAGAATTCTTAGAATTATTGTGAAGTAATTGTGCCAAAAACTTTACATTATTTTTTTAAAAAGCATTTAATAATTGTATGAGATTAATTATCATCTAAAATTGACAAAATCCTTAAAACTGAACATTTGTTGCTATAAATTTTAGGGCAAATTGTTAAAATGCAGTTCGATGAAACACAAACATAATGTTAAGTTTTAAATGCAATTGTTTGATCTGAAATATAAGTTGTATAATGATTAAACTAACTATTGTATTAGTATTCACATCATATAAATTTATCAGACATCTATTGAGCAGTATTACATAAGTCAATCTATCAATTATAAGTAAGGTAAATATTTTGATTGACTACTGGTACACATTTCATTGATTACTAATACATCTTAGATTGATGTATTTACTATCTTAATTGTTATTTTAAAGTTATTTGCTCAAAGTCAATTTGAAAGCTAAAATTTTTCATGCAACCCATATTCAAAACTAACTGTACCTGGTTCATATTATCATTATCTGAAGTATATTATATTACATTGGTACATTGAAATATCATCGTATTAGATACATAAAATATATTAAAAATATAATTTCTCACAAATAATATTATGTTGAATTGTGAATATAAAATTAAATAAAAATCGAAAGAGATATTTCGGAAATAAGGATCTCAAATATATAAAAAGTTGGAAGAAAAAATTGTGTATTCAAGTTTTTGCATGATATAGCAATGTATTTAAGTGAAATATAGTGACTTCAACGCGTTTCTATGTTATTGTAAGAAATAATACTAATGCGTAAAATACAATTTCAATAATCAATTAAATAGTGATTAATCTAATACAAATCAGGAATAAAAGTATCACAAATATTTTATTGTAACTGATTCTACAATAACGTAATAGTATTAGTGATCAATATATATTGATTTAATTAATTATAACTGTGCCAATAAGAGCATATTTTACTGATATGACATATTTATTCAAATTATTGGCTAAGCATATTTAAATATTACAGGTTACACAATGTTATTTAATATTTTCATGATAAAATATTTAGATATTTTATTCGTATCAAAATGCAAAATTGTATGTTTTCATGTATTTTGTTTGTGATTTATATTGTGCATATATATTTAATTTATTTTAAACTAATATAAGAACTTAATATAAATAAACATATTTTTAGGTAACAAAACATTATATTATATGTACTTATTATTTTAACATAAACGAAATTACTTATACATAATTGCATTTAGTTTTATAATTTTTTGATAGTATTATTACGTGTATTATTAAATATATTTTTATAAAAATTTGTGAAGCAAATTATGATAATTATTTTCATGATTCAATTATTATTTCCAGTAGCGTAAAAAGTTTATGAATGACTAAATTGTAATAAAACTTTGAGTTACATATCATCTCGAGATATTTGTATTATATTTGTAAATATAGATTTATGTACATTAACTCATATAGTATATAATATATATATATATATATATATATATATATATATATATATATATATACTATAATCTGTTAATTTACATTGCTGCAAATCGCTGTCAGAATCTTTTATAACTCTGGCAATGAAAGTAAACGCAATCAATAAGAATAACTTATGTAATCAAAATATAAAAATATTTTTCTTATATAAAATTATAATGTTGTTGTGTTATTATGTAATAAGCTAATATGAATATGTTTTATGTTATATCGAATCTTTAACATAAATGTGAAGAAAAACTTATTATAAATTAATGTTCTTATAAATTAGATAACTGGTAGATCATTCAAACTTAATAATATGATTGCAAATGTTCAATTCCAACATTACAATTGTATGTTGAGTGCCTTTCTTAAATATAAAGCACAGGGGAATTAGCAGTTCATAAATTTTGTACGAGATCACACAAACCAAATGCAGAACTGCTTATAATATGCAATTAAAGATCATGTTAAAATATAAAATTTCTGCAATACTACTTAAATTTTATATAAACACACGCTAAAATAAATATATATGTATATATTTATAAATATATGAGTGAAATATACTACAAGCAATATGAACAATTAAAATATTTGTAAATGCTAATTCCCCTCATTCTTCCAAACTGTGTTAAATAATTCAAACTTACCTCATTATAAATTTATTCTAAATTATTTGTTTATAATTTATTAGCCGTTTATGGCATGTGAATCAAAACATATTATATCGTTTTGTTGTGCAGAACATAGGCTTGCGCTTCGTATCTAATCAAATATATTACAAATTACTATGTAGTCCAAAAATAATAGTTTATGTTCTAAATTTCGGGTCATATTCATAATCTTTAAAGAAAACATGTGCATTCCTAATTCTCTAACAAACTATTGACAATACTTACTACTTATTAGCATTAGAAAAATAAATGTAAGATATAATTGTACTTATAATATTGAGATTAATAATTAATAACATTATCCATGCATTTTGCTATCATATAATTTGTTCGTATAAGAACCATGTTAAACTCTGCATACATATTTTTGTGTGTGTGTCATATATGCGTGTGTGGTATATGTATAAAATTAATATACATGTATAGAATATTAATTTTTCTTTTAAAAATTATATAACAGAATAATAAACCATTAACAGTTAGATGTATTCTGTAATACATATTATTGAGAAAATATATGAACCATAAGTAATAAAAGTTTATTATTGATAGCATTTATTATAAAAAAATATTGTGCATTCATTACTATAATTACTTACTTATAGATATAAACATTTACTGCTGCCTAATAATTTTAATTTATTTGACAACTGTTAAACAAATATCAGTAAAAAATTGATTATGTAGTTAAATAATAAACATAGGTAATCGTAAACAATAAAAAGTAATTCGATAATAAGAAAAATAACAAAAATTAAACAATTTTACCAAAAATAATACGCTTTTTTTCAAATTTGAGGCAGGTAGGATACGGAATACATCCGGTTAGGGGCAGTTGAATATCTGCCGGGTCAAAATTTTACATTTGAAGCATTGAATAATTAGCATAATCAATTTATGTTTTATATTTTCTTAATTATATATTAGATAAAAAACTACATTTTTCTAATCTTTGAAAATGAAAATATTTTCATGAGAACCGCGTCGTTATTCGCAGTTACTAGTCCATCCATAGATATTCCATTTCCATAGTATGCATTTCATTTGCCCTCTCCATTCGCAAAAGCTTGTGTCCAAGTTCACTTCATTTGCATGTCGTGAAATTTGTGTGGTGTTTGTTATGACATTTGCTTGTTTTTTTCTTAACAAATAATTTTCAAATATCCGTTAAAAATTACATGTTAATATGTCAAATTTAAGGCAAACGCCATTAACCTGTAGTGGACATACTCGTCCTGTCGTTCACTTAGATTTTAGTGATATTACCGAATGTGGTTATTTTTTAATATCGGCTTGTAAAGGTAACAAAAAAAAAAAATGACCTCCAGTCTTATATTCTTTTCCTTGGCCTAATTTACACAATGTCAAGTCGATTGTGATTTATCATAATATAGAATATACTTCATTTACAACTAAACATACTGAGCTGTGTATTTTGTATGTATTTTTATATTATATGAAAATTGATTTAAACAGATGGAAAACCTATGTTACGACAAGGTGACACTGGAGATTGGATTGGAACCTTCCAGGGACATAAAGGTGCCGTCTGGGGTGTTGCATTGAATTCTCAGGCAACTCGTGCTGCTACTGGTGCAGCAGATTTTACTGGTGAATTTATTTAAAAGCGCTGTTTTGCATTCATACAACAATATTTATCTCATCTCAAAATATTGCATATAATATTGCAAAGCCAAATAATTTTTAATATTAAATATGAAAGGCATGTATATATTTGTGAATCATATCCATTTGATTTACAGATTTATAATAGTGAATATAATGGTCATAGCTGGGCATTAACTCGTTAATCCGTTAATTGTTAATTAACGAAGTTAACATTTTGATTAACGGATTAACTTTTAAGTTAACTTTTAAAAATGTTAACGGACACGTTAACTTCCGTTAAAATGCGAGAAGTCCGTTAATCGTTAATCCAATGCCTACTATTTACCGCACGGCACAGCTTTAGCCAATGCCTTATTAAACGGCATAGAGAAAAGATTTGGACTACTCCTGAATGATGAACAGTGCCAACTTGCCGCGGCATTTCACCCAAAGTTTCGGTTAATGTGGCTGGAAACGTATGACAGCAGTAGAGAGGAATGCAGTAAGAAAATGCACGGAAAAAAGGTAGAAGATGCCTTATGGCAAGAAGCAGCGAAAAATTCGAAGGACAGAGATAGTTTAAGTGGCGGAGGGAGCAATGCGAGTAACAACGATGATGACGAGGAGGAAGACTTTTTCAATTCTGTCACTCAGTCTATAGAAAAACCAAAGAGCTACAAACTCTTTAAAGAATAAAGCGCAAATTCTCGTTAAAATGTGGCTGGATATGAAATCAAAAGACTCGTTCAACGATGCTGCATTCCTCGGGGAACAGATATTCATAAATCTATTTATTAAATACAATACTGCTATACCCTCAAGTGCTGCAGTTGAACGTTTGTTTTCCACGGGTAAAGACATTTTGACACCAAAACGAGCCTCGCTTTCAGACGAGAACTTCAACATGTTAATGTTCATGAAGGGGAATATGCACCTTATGCCCGACGCTTAACCCGTCGCGCGTTTCCTATTTTTCGCAAAAACTAGCTGTAAATGGAATTCTGTCTTAAGGCAATTAAGGCATCGTTCCTTAAGGCAAATTGCTGGTACTTTCCGTACCTAAAATTATTATTTTTTTAAAAACGATTAACATTTTTGAAAAAAATTTACTTCGAAAAAATAAGATTTTTGAGAAACTATAAACTATTGGACAAAAAATTAATTTTTTTTGGAAGATCTGAACTTTTTTTCAAAGCAATTTTACTGCTTTAGGATTGCATAGAGACAAAATATAAAGCGCGTAAGCGCCGCGTCGCTGTCTAAAGGATACACTTTGGTACGGAACCCATAGGAATGTAAATAAAATTTATACTTATTGTTAAAATCTCTATAAAATATCTGATAATTTGATGTGCATATGTCTAATGATCATTTTGACTGCCAAATGGCTTTTTTTTTACTTTTTTCATTAGATCTCCGAAACCGCTAGACCTGCATTCATGAAAAATTGATCAGTTCTTTATAATTGTCAATACAAGTAAAATGTTTTTTGAATTATTAAAATCGGACGCTCCGTTCTCTTAAAAACTGAGTTACCGTTTTTGGCTCAATTTTGCCCCATATCTTCGGAACGGCTAGACCTGCCTTTGCCAAAAACTAATCAGCACGTCTTTTTATCAATACGAATCGAATGTTTTTTGAATTATTCAAATCGGTTGATCCGTGTTCCCGAAATCGTCGACGAAAATTTGTATCCGAATACACATACATCCATTTTTTCTAAGGTATGCCAAAATATTCAGAAACCTTTGAAACGTCGAAAAATGCAAAAATTTTCATTTTCGATTTTTTTGCGATTACTATAACTTGCCCTATGGGAAGTTAAAAAAACTCTTTCCCTTTATTTAGAAAAAAATTCTTGTAAAAACAATATGCAATCATAAAAACGGAAAGTTGCCCAATAGCGTTATCACGGTATGTGATAATTGTGCCATTTTCCTTATACACACGGAAGTATGCATAAAACGCGCGAGGGGTTAAATTACACATTTGAATTAAACAAGTATTTTGTTTTCTTCATAACCTGTTAACTTTCAGAACCTAAACTAATAAGTTTTTTAAGTTCACTAACGCAACGATATAAAAATGTAATTTTACACATATTAACGGATTAACGATTAACGTTAACTTGCGTTAATTCTTCCGAAATGTAACGCTTTAACGTTTAACGAAGTTAACTTTTTTTGTAGCGGATTAACGATTAACGAAGTTAACTATTTGATTAACGGTGCCCAGCTATGATAATGGTTAATAGTTTCTTTCATATATTAATATATTTTATGATAACTTTACATATATATATATATATATATATATATATATATATATATATATATATATATATATATATATATATATATATATATTTGTTTTATCAGGTAAAGTTTGGGATGCCATCACTGGGAATGAGGTGCAAAGCTTTCAACATAAGCACATTGTGAAATCTGTAACATTTAGTTCTGATAGTAAATTGTTGGCTACAGGGAGCAATGAAAAATTAATACGAATATTTGACCTAAATCAACCTGATAATGGTATTTGCAGCTAAACTGTTTTAATATATTAATAGCGATATATACATATAGTATTGTCATGAAACACTTTTTCTTTATAGAAGCACAAGTATTTACTGGTCACAATGGAGGAATTAAAAGAGCCCTATTTTGTCGAGGAGATTCTTGCATTGTTAGTTGTGCTGATGATAAAACAATGAGGCTGTGGGATAGAACATTATGCAAAGCAAGTTTTAGCACTTAATTAAAGAACAAAGCCAAAGAAAATATTTATTACATGCTGAGCTTAAATTAATTTTTACATATATTATGCAGTGTTAAAATACTATATTTTTATTTTTTATTAAATCTTATACTTATTCTAGGAAATACATAGAGTGGACTTTCCTGCAGCTCCAAGTAGTTTAGAGTTATCTAAAGATGGTTCAATTCTTACTGCAACACATGGAGATACGGTGTCGTTCTGGGATGCTAGTTCTTTTCAAAGATTATGTGAAGCTAAAGTGCCCACAACTGCTGCTTCGGCTTCTTTGCATCCTGATAAAAGTATATTTGTTTGTGGAGGAGATGATTTAAAAGTATATAAGTTTGATTACGCAACAGGAAATGAAATTGGTAATACATCATTGAAAAATTTATATACATATGCAAACATATACTTGATTTTTTAAATATTACATACAGATACAAATATATATAAAGTGAAAACAAGTTAAAAATCAAATGGACCAAAGTTCTTCAGTTACTTATTTTTCCGTCAAATGATTATAGATACATTTATTACATAATATAACAAATATAACAAATATAACAAATTTTTGATTCCGTGGCACTTATAATAGGCAATATATACAAATCTAAATCAAAAGTAGTTTTTTCTGTACCCAATATTAAATTTGTTTTTTTTTTTCGTTCATTTGTCATATAAAATTGTGTATCTAAATATACTTCATTTATTTTAGAATCGTTCAAAGGTCATTTTGGTCCAATTCATACAGTACAATTTAGTCCTGATGGAGAATTGTATGCAAGTGGTTCTGAGGATGGAACATTAAGACTTTGGCAAACAACTGTAGGCAAAACATATGGGTTATGGAAATGTATTGAAAGCAATAGTGATAATTCCAATCATAATTCCACATCACAGAAAGAAATCGTTGCCAACTAATTTAATTGTAAGAATAAAAAGGAATTTCAAATAGGGGCTAATGAATGGTGAATAACAACTTCAAGCAGTTTTGGTGTATATTAAATGTATTTTATAATAAATATTTTTGATGATACTTATTTCACACAGAAAACATTTGATTTGAGAAATTTATTTGAGCCACTTTATTGTTTGGTATTGAGTAAACTGTATTATGTTTCACAAAATATTTATCAATTAATATTATTCTAATTAAATATTATTATTAATGAATTATTTACTTTTCTTCTTTATTATTCTGCTTGCCACAGATATTCAAATTCTAGAAGTACAAAAAACTGGTCATACACATTATATTCTTGTTTGGCATATATTACTCAAAAATTACTGTTATATTTACAAAAAAACATATGGCAACTGCAGAAAATTTAATGAAAACACAGATTCAATAAAAAAAAACTAGTACTATTCTAAAAGTAATATGTTTTGAGAAAGTCAGTGATTACTAATAACACATGGATACATTTATGTTTTTTAAGAAAAATTTTGTTAACATATTAAAGGCATAATTTCATTTAGTCCAAGATACTTTTGGTATATCAAAATGCTCTGTCAAACTGTCCAAATGCTGATTAAATTTTTCAACGCGTTGTTTATGAGTCATTGCAGCCTTCTGTGCTATTTTTTCTTTTTGCATCTTCTCTTGCATTTTTAAAAAAGATATTTCAGCCTTTGTGCGCTGTTGTTGAGGTTGTACATCTTGTTGGGTTTTTTCAGTGTTTACGGTTACTTGCTCTAACACTTTTTTATGTTTATCCTTCTTGTGTTTTTTCTTCTTTGAAGTGTTTTTTTCAACTTTGAGTTTCAGTTTTCCTTTAACTACATGGTGATATTCGTCGTTTGACTGTGACATTGTTAAATAGTTTGCAAGTTATTTATTTGAGGCGGCACGATTTTATGGTGAGTTTTAAGATATAAATATATACTTATCTGTAATAATAATAAGAAACAGCAAATGAATTTGACGTTTCGGGTTGCATAGAGCATAGAACTGTTAATCACAAAGATATGTGCCTTCAGTTTTTTAGTTTCAGTTCGTTTCGAGGCATTAAAATTAATGGCGCAAAATTTAAAATAAAAAAAATTATTCAAAATTTTAATAATCTTTGTTTGAACTTAAATACAATCGGTACATTCCTTATATTTGTTTATTTCATTCATTCATTATACCTGTTTATCAATGGGTACATTCACATTATGTTTTTAAATAATTCATCAACAACAAAAATCAAATTTACTATTTTTATTGATAATCCAATTTTTATAGTAGTTTATCATTTTTTTTCTTATAGTAGTTTATAACTTTTTTCTTATAGAAAAATGTAAATTATATAAGCGATATGGCTGGGCGAACAGCTACTGTAATTGTACTCCAGGTGTTGATGTGCTCATAGATAAATAAATATTACTAATTACATAACTAACTGAATATGTAACAGATACTAATCATAAATAGGCATGTTGAAGGAAAATTTGAATAAAATTATAAATTGTTTGCATACTTAGAATCATCTAGTCTAGGAATAGCATTAAGATGGTTACAAAAACTAAAACAGTCAAAAAGTCTAAACGAAAATAAAGTTTATTTATTCAAAATAAATTTTAATAATATAAGGAATAACATGTTTGAATTCATTCTATAATATATATAACAAGTGAATTATCATTAATCAGTATCACTTTGATGATGTAGTTGTTGTTTGCTTCTTTTGCTTCTTTTGAGGCTTAGCTTGACTATTTTCTCCAGTAGATTCATTACCAATTTCCACAATACTACATTCATTTTTTACTGATGAAGTATTTGGCGGCACATAACTCATAAGTGCTGGCCATGTAAATAAAGCTTTCAATATTTTCTTGAGATGGTCAGCATCTTCCATTTGTTTATGTAATAATACATCTTGCTCATTTTTGACACTATCTTTATATTTATCATCATTCATTGTTATCATTAATGATCTCATGCCGACTAAAGTAGATGAATTTGGTGGTAATAAAGTGCATAAAGTTTTACCGACCTCAACATTCTTTTTTGAATCATCTTCACAATTCAACTCTGTGTTTTCAATATCACATTTCTGACTATGATATGTCTTGATTTTTTTGTTAGCCAATGGCTCATAACAAAATTCAGCTTCTCCCACTGTTCTCTTAAGTTTTGACGAAGTGGGTATAAGCCAATCTTCTTTTATAGAATCATTGTCAAAATGATTATAAATAGGATCAGTATAATGCCCAATCATAAAGTTTAATAAAAGTTTGTCTGTTTCTGAATAGTTATGAAATATAGTTTCTGATATTTTTTTTCTTATAGTATCTTGTGTTATTTCAAAACCAAAAATACTTAAAAAATCTTGAACCATATTTTTCATCCTGTTTAAATCAAATAGATCAAAAACTGTTTTCTGTCGTCCACCTTTTTTATTTTTATAATAATTCATGCGACTAAAATATTCAGATATCTCTAAATCAATCAAAGTAGACAATTCAGCATTATTTGAAGCAGGTGTTTCAATGTTGGATTGTTCAATTTTATTCAAAATTTTACCAACAGACACTCTTTTAGGTCTTCTAGGCTTTCTGGGAACATCCTCTATTGTTGCTCCTGGATTTTTATTCATGAAGTCTTTCAATATTTCAAATCTATGACGGCAGCATGATCCTGTACGAAAATCCATCAATTTGGAAATCATGGACCACTTTCTACCATGTGTTGTTACCAAACTCAATAGTTTCATATCGGTACTAGCATCCCAAGATCGCACAGGAGAGTTCATATGCTTTAGACAATTATTATATCGTGCTTTTATTTGTTTTAAAGACCTTCCTGGAAGAATATCTTCAATTGGAATGGCTTTAAAGTCATTATTGTAAGTTATTAGAGCAGCCATGATTGCACAATCCTCTTCTTCAGAAAAAGCACCTTTCTTTATATTAGGATTAATTCTTAAAAATTTTGAATAAATTTGATCCCTAGTTCTGGAGTCAAAAAACTGACAAATTCTTGCCCAGGAAATAAAATTTTTACCTACTCTGCATTTATCAACTAATGATAATAATTTCTGTTCCTCTACAGGTGACCACTTTTCATTATATTTACCAGTATCTACTTCTGTATGAAAATGTATAAAGCACTGTAGGTGTGAGCGATTACAATCAATATCTTTAGCTATTTGCTCCCAATTATGAAACTTATGTTTTTCTGCAGCATTTATAAGTTTTTCAGTTTCTGATTCTGACCATTTCGTTTTACGTAAGTTTGGATGTAAAACGAAATTCCACATTGCCTTGCATTCATCCACAGAATGTTCCGGAACCTTGAAAAAGAAAATGATTTTAATAATCAATAAACATCATTTTTTATGATTTTAAACTGATATTGAGGATAACATATATATATATATATATATATATATATATATATAATTTTATTGAAGACTAGAAAATACAAAATCATACATTCAAGGCAGCAATAGTATGCCAATCTATCAAAGCTTCCTTTTCGAAATCACCTCCGACTTGCTTTTTTATTGCCCGTTTCATTCTTGCTTTTTCTGCAACTGTCCAGTGGCTTGCCAAATTCAAATTTATATACCTTAAAATCTTATTTTCACGTATCCTCTTGGTTTCCAAATTTGATGGACCTGGAAAATAGTCTTTATCTTTAAAATATGGTGCTCCAAAAACATAAGGACCCAACTCCGATTCTTTGTCCGTATTTGAATATATTTTGGCTTGTTCTTTTAGAGTATGTAATGATTGCCTTTTCATTTGAACTCTGTAAACAAGATTCTCTAGCTTCTGAATCATTGTAATCAATGATAGTTCATATTTCTTGTTAACTTCAATTGTATCCTGCAAAAATTTAACTCGATCCATATCAATCTTCCTGACGCCTTCCTGGGTATTATTTTCCATATCTGTACTAACTGTATTATTACTTCCTGTAATTGTACTTTGAGTTTCTAATGTTGAACTCATACCGAAAACTGACAAATAATTTTGCAGAATACTACAATGAGGTTAAAGATATCACGGCAAAATTACTAAACAAAACGAATATATTAAAAGTGCATGATAAATACTTCGAAAGGAAGGAATTTAAACAATAGCTCAATTTCCTACGTTTATACGACATATAACAGCAGTGTTATAGAATATTATTGCATCAACACAGGCAGCGGCCTAATATCTCTGAAAAAAACCCGCGTTCACTGTACTGTACGGTACGTAGTTTATGTTTTTCAATTCAACTACGGTACCGGTGTAGGAGAAGGGAGGTCGGTCGGGAACCAGGCGAACATTTAGCACTAGTGAGCGTGAGCCCATAGATAAATAAGCACTAGTGGGGCGCATGGCATCGTGCCTTAAGGCAAATTGCTGGAACTTCCCGTACCAAAAAATATTATTTTTTTAAAAACAATTAACATTTTTGAAGAAAAATTACATAAACATTTTTTTTGAGAAACTAAAAATCTGATAAAAAATCACTTTTTTTAAAAAAAAAATGTATACTTATTGTTAAAATCTCTATAAAATATCTGATAATTTGATGTGCATATGTCTAATGATCATTTTTGACCGCCAATTGGCATTTTTTTACTTTTTTTATTAGATCTCCGACATCGCTAGACCTGCCTTCATGAAAATTTGATCAGTTCTTTATCTTGTCAATACAAGTAAAATGTTATGTTATGAATTATTAAAATCGGACGCTCCGTTCTCTTAAAAACCATTTTTGGCACTTTTTGTCCCGTATCTTCGGAATGGCTAGACCTGCCTTCGCCAAAAACTAATCAGCACGTCTTCTTATCAATACGAATCGAATGTTTTTTGAATTATTCAATTCGGTTGATCGGTGTTCCCGAAATCGTCGACGAAAATTTGTATCCGCACACACACACATACATCCATTTTTTCTAAGGTATGCCAAAATGTTCAGAAGGTTTTCAAACGTAAAGATTATATATAATAAAAAATTATTTTCTATTTCTTGCGATTACTATAACTTGCCCTACGGGAAGTTAATAATAAGTGATAAGAGTGAGTGAGTGAGCCTATGCCATGCCTATGTCTAAAACCTTGGTGTCCCCTATAGTAGAGAAAAAATATAATCAAGATCTCATTGGACAAAGTCTTATTATTGATAGGAAGAACGAAATAATCACGATTGAAGAGCTTTCAGGGCGTTTGCAACATCAAATTTTTATCAAAAAATGAACGTTTTTTGCAAATTTTAAATTTTTTTGGTATATTCCAAAAAATTTTTGGACGCTGATTTCGCAAATACTATACGTTTTTTTATAAATCCGCGCATACCTCTGCAAAAAATCGAAATTCAAGTTTTTCGCGATTTTCGAAATGTTTTGACTGATTTCGAAAGATTAGACGATGAATTCGAAAATGCTATCCGTTTTTGGATAACTCCAGATTTATGCGCAGAACATCAAAATTGTTATTTAAATTGCTATTGTTAATCAATATTGTCACTTTTTCGATTTTCAAAATATTCTGAATGATTCTGACAGATTTCGAAGCATTGATTTCGAATATGAAATCAGTTTTTGGAAAATTCATTTGTACTACCCCTACGACCAACTTGAAATTTGCATGAGGATGACGATAAATTTGGAATTTGTTTGGTTTGGTATAAAGATTATTCATTAATCTACACAATGCATTTAATAAATTTATTTATTTTATTTATTAAGGGCCTTAAAATTGCATTTGAAAGTCGCAAATTTGGCCGGCTCTGGCTACTCCTGATTAGCAGGCAATTTAACATCGCAAATAAGACGTTTTCAGTTTTTGTGCCTAGTATGTGCAAGATTTTTAATTACACCAAAGTATGTTTGGTTCACTATTGAAAATTATTTCCATTACCTATTTCTCGTCTTATACATATGTTACACAGATTTTTATGATACTTACATTCAATAAATGCAATTATGATCTATCTACACGTTTCATTCATTGATATAGTTAGAAAAACTATATAATTCACTTTTTTCAGCTTCGTCGGGAATTGAAACAACAACCAGGCAACAACCCATGTTTGGCCTAAACTGGCCTAAAACATAGATAAGTAAACATAATGGCTTAAACCGTGTCTTTACGGCCTGGGCCATTCGACTCATTGTTGTACAATATTTTTAGAAAACTTATATATTTCATTCAAATATATGTATTTTATATTTTTAGAAATTTAAGTTAATTCTGGATGAGAAATGGGCCGAGAGCGTTAAGTAATCACTAACATATTACTAACTAACACATATGTTGCTCAAGGATCTCGGTTCAAAAACTCGCTTGTTCGCACTTGACTGAGAGAGGGTATAATTGCATTTATTAACTTCCCGAAGGATGTTTTCATCAAAAAATCCGAATCGCTAATTTTATTTTATCGAATGAGACAAAATTTGGAAAAAGTATGTGTGTGTGTGTCTGTGCACGCACAGATTTTTTGCCGTAAATCGACGTTTTCTCAAAAACGGCTGGACCGATTTGAAAAATTTAAAAACCATTCGATGTATCTTGTTAAGGACTAGCGTTTATCAACTTTGCGCTACGATCATCCAAGCCGTTTCTTTGTAAATCGCAGAAAAGTGAAAAATTTTTCGTCCACGTTTTAGCTCGCAATTCTGAATCGATTTTGAAAATTCAAAAATCGTTCGAAAGATATTGGTTGGGAATCGTGCTGATTAGTTTTTGGTAAAGATCGGCCGGGCCGATTTCTTGTAATAAAGTTAAAATAAAAAATTCGACGATTTTTATGATTTTTTTTGACGATAGATATCATAGTCTTCTAGATCATACTAAAATATTACCGCTCTACGACAACTCGTTTTTTTTTGCATTCGGTGCAAGAGATAAATATAAGGAATGATGACAAGCCTAGACAATTTAAAAATAATGACGAGGTAGAGAAGGAACGGATGATAATAAGAGATATGTGTATGAAACATATGCTTTATATGTAATATAATAAAGCATATGTATGTAATATATGCTTTATTAAATTTCCCTATAAATATAATATAAACTCTTCTTTTATCTATGAATATAAGAATATAGAAATAACATTTGTCATCAATAACTCGAGTGGTTTATACTTGTTTATCTGTGGTTAGTGAGACTACTATGCTACTAGTGTTCAATAAATGTTCTGTTCAATGTGATGTGATGTGATTCAATTAAATTGAAAAGTATCCGATCTACTAAATATAGGGTGCATTCGACTTGGACGCTTACGCGCTGTGAGCGCGCCGTGAGCGCGCTTTCATCGTTCGACTTGGCGCTGTGAGTGTCACATAAGTACGCTCGTAGCACCATCGTAGGATGCTCGTAGCACATATTTTGCGCTCACATATGCTCACGCCACAGAGGTAGGGCAGCGTGAGCGTGAGCGTCAGTTGTTTTTACTATCTGTCATTTCATTTGTTTATTAATTGTCAAATTCTTTATAATTCCGCAAAAATGGCAAGCTGTAGATCACAATTATTTTTTAATATTAATATTGATATTAATTAATTTTAAATTTAATTAATTTTAAATAATTTTAAATTTCAATTTTAATATTACTATTAATTAAGCATAAGCTAACCAAATTTCATTTATTTATTAATTGTTAAATTCTTTATAATCCCGCAAAAATGCCAAGTTGTATATCACATTTATTTTTTAATATTAATATTAATATTTATTAATTTTAAATTCAATTAATTTTAAATTTTAATTTTAATATTACTATTAATTAAGCATAAGCTAACCAAATTTCATTTATTCATTAATTGTTAAATTCTTTATAATCCCGCAAAAATGCCAAGTTGTATATCACATTTATTTTTTAATATTAATATTAATATTAATTAATTTAATTAATTTTAAATAATTTTAAATTTTAATTTTAATATTAATATGAATTAAGCATAAGCAAACCAAATTTCATTTATTTATTAATTGTTAAATTCTTTATAATCCCGCTGAATGATCCAGAAAGTAATAAAATTTACACAATTACCGTTACCGCCAGTTGCCGCCATTTTGATGCTTATTGACGCTCACAGTTTCCAAAACGAACGGAATTTATTTATCGATTCTAAGCGCTTATCGGCCAAGTCGAACGCTAAAAATTCGTGCTTATAAGCGTGAGCGCTCACAGCGCGTAAGCGTCCAAGTCGAATGCACCCATAGTGTCTATGTTTTTCCATCGCCGATGCGCCCAATGCGCCCCTGCTGCCATGCGCATGCGTTACACTGACGTCAAATTCATTACGTAAAGTCCGTACACTTGAGCTAGAATAGAAGGCTGTCGTACTTGACAGCCATTTTGCAATATTTTAGATCAGGTGCCTTTTTGACGTTTGTCAGATATTAAATCAATTGCAATGTATTCGTCGTGTTAAAAACATCGCGTTATTTCATTTATATATTTATGTATATTATTTTATCTAGTTTGTACTTATGAACTATTTCAATCGAGGGGAAGAAAATTCAATAAATATGAAGCAGTTTTTGTGTAGTGCAATTTTATTATTTTTGGTCCAAAGCAGTGTTTATGCCAGAGAAGGTAAGTAGATACGGTCTAATTGTCTTTTTAAATGTACGCCAATGTTGAATGTAGTAATATATTGTAAATGTAAAAGTAACGTCAAATATTGGCATTTTCTATTTTTACTTTTTATTGCATGAGGTGTAGAACTAGCATTGATTTAACTGTTGTTTTTCAAACTCCAATAGGAAATGATTCACAGTTCAAACTTTGCCCTCAGAGTTTGGTAAATCTATGCAGTAATTTTCACTTTATTTTAACTATTTGTACATAATAGGTTTATTTGTAACCATTTGTATATTATAGTTTTACAGCATATATTTATACATTAAGCTGAACTTGTAGAAGCCAAAATCCTAATGATGTTAATAAACTTTACCATAGTCATACATTGAAACTTAAATATTTTCTCGATGTATACTGTATAGTCTAAACAGGGCAATGTTTGAATTTTAGATTCAATCTTTAAAAGTATTTATATTATAATTTTATGTTTTATATTAGATGTAGTGCATGTTTGAAGTATATTTTTCTAGCTTTATATTTTGTCACATGTATATATGATATACTAATTTTATATATAATCATCATTTTTGAATATGTGTAAAGATGAATTTATCTATCGGCATGGAATAATTTAGTTTTTGGTTATTTTATTTAAATATTCAGAGCAGAATATGCCTTATCAGTAACAAGACACTATCATATGATATCATCTTATCAGGAACACCACACATTTTGATATTTTCTTTCATTGCAGGTTTTATGTACATTTTAAGCCTTTATTAATATTTGTTAATTGATAAGGCATTTACTTGAATTGATAGTAGTTATACATTATCATATTGCAGTATTTCAAAGATAATTGGTTTATGCCTTTCAGCTATATTTAAACAATCTTTAATGTTATAAATAATGCTTATCTTAACATACTATTAAATTTATTTTATATTTTATATACTCTTTTGAAGCAATAAATTTCAATGAAATATTTTTAAACAATGTTAATACATTAAATTATCATTATTTTTAAGTTTCTTATTTTTTTGAAGTTTTAACCACTTATGATTAAACATGGTTATAATTGTAGGTCTTTTTTTTATTTTACATAAAATAACTAAATATATTTATTTATTTATTTATACAGTGCCCAAGGCAATAATACAATATAATCACATTTTAGAGTGTACGAATTATAAACTGAAGATAATATGTAAGAAAATTAAAGTATTAATTATATATATTACATAGAATAACTGTAATAAATATATGATAGCTATTTTAATTGTTGATTCGATTATTCAGTACACATGAAATGAAAAAAAGTAAATTTGAAACAAAAATTACAGAACTTTTGTTTATTTTTCATTTTAAAAGCAACATGTGATGTAAAATAATTTTAAAAGCAACAAACATGCATTAACTTTTGTAGTCATCAGAATGGTTGGTGCATTCAAAGTTTTTAATGAATCATATTGATTGTTCAGTAATAATTATTTAATTAAATTTAATTTTCTTTGAAGAATTACTATAAGAAAATGATAGTAATTCTGTAAAAAATTATAGTAATTTTGTGAAAATGATAGTATATTCTGTAACTCAAACATTTTGCCAATATATTTATAATGGGCAATACAAAAGTTGTTTTTCAATAGAACATTAATTGCCTACTAACTTATTTTATTACCTACTTAATAATATATGTACTTACTTTATTACCGACTTACTCAAATATATATTCATTTAAACGACATAGGTTTAAATTTCCTTAAATTTATTTTTGAATGAATAATATAAATTAATAATTGCATATAAAAATTAATTTATTATTTTAACAAGTATTTATAGTAAATCTTTACTGCATTTTTTTATATCTTATTTTATATATGATCAAGTTTCATGTAGGTTTGTCACTAAACTAAAAATAGATAGTAATTATAAAAAGTAAATAAACCTTTGGCCTCAAACTCATGATTCAAATTGTTATACATATTTCACACATATTTAGAGAACACTTTACAAGTAATTATTTTGCATAACAGGGTGTTCTGGTCACTATTGAAATCTAAACATTTTTCTATTTGTTTTAAAAATATACACAATAAATAAAATAATGCTGATCTGAACTAGTTATAAAATAGTTCTCACATACATACTTGGTCTATTTTTTATTTATTTTTTATTGCTTAGAAATCTTCAAATTGAATACATGTTTATATACTTTAAAGATATGTATTAAACAATGAATTTAATCACAGTAAATTTGGATTTGAAATGCTTGTTAACTAATATAGAATTTTGTTATCATGCAGGAATTAGATTGATTTTTTAAACTTATGAAGGTGCCGTCTTATGTTAAATGTTTTTTACTTATTCATTTAGTAATATTTTGATGTGTGGATATTTTGTTTTTCAATTGGAAAAGTGTAAGATTTCTTTTTCTAGCTTTATTAATTTGTACTACTAACAAATCTTAATTTATTTGCTTTGCATACCTAATCATAACATGTAGCAAATTTAGTATAAAACGGTTTATTATTTTAATATTAATTTCAGGTGAAGCCACGTCGCAAAAACTTTTTGATATTCGCAGTCCATTGGTTCTAACCTGTCCATTGAAAGATGGTCCTGTTGATCAGTGGTAATAATCTTGCACTGAATGTGTTAATATTTTTGCATTCCTGGTTCTTATCCAATATTATTTAATGTATACTATATATATTATATATATATATATATATATATATATATATATATTATTTATTAAATAAAATTATTATTATTACGATCACTTTGATTAATTTTATAAAAAGCTTAATACGGTTTTTGAACATAAATATTAGCAGACAGAGTAGTAACTAATAATAACAACAATTTGGTAGGTTTAAAGATGAGAAAAAAGTAGAAGAAATCAATGATCTCAAGGACCGTTACCAATTAATAAAGGAAGAACATCAATTCATTATTGAAAAAACTGAACAAGATGATGCTGGCTCTTACACATGCAAAGTTGGTTCAGGAGAAAATGAAAGGGAGCATACTATTATAGTGACTGGTAATATTTCTTTTTGCTATTATTGAATATATAACATATATATATATATATATATATATATATATATATATATATATGTATGTATGTATGTATTAGATGGTAGTCTTGGATTTGTAAATATTTTGTAGAGCTTTGAACAAAAAATCCAAAAAGTATTAAAAACAAACAAGTTTTTTAAAAAAACATTTTTTTATTTATTTACTGTAGACGTTTCGGAACTAGGTACGTTCCATTTTCAGGGCATCTGTCAAGAAACATGATCTTGATAAGATTTAAGCAAACAATATATTTAAGAAAAGCAGATGATGATGGATTTTTTATATATAAAATGAATAAAATTGTGGAAAAAATAATGTACAGAAATATGACAATATAATCAAAATGAAAATGATAAAAATAGAGTGGATTATATAACCAATTATTACAAATGTAATGTGTAAAAAAATGTTAAAAGAAAGTTTTAGATAGTTTTAAGAACAGGTTTCCGGAAAAAACAGAATTAATTACCTGTATGATTGATAATACACTAACACTTTTTCACTAAAAAGATTTTATCAAAAAAAATTGATTTTATAAATTTAATTTATTCTAAGAAGAAAATAAGATTCATGTATAACTGGATATGATTTTAGGATATGATTTTAGGAGATTTATCACTGTATTTACTAATTTTCTCTTTATTTTTGCAGCCAAACCTGCTGTGAAACTTGGGCTAAGTACTAATGTCGTAGAAGGTGAAAAACTGCGAGTTGTTTGCACAGTTGTAGGCAAACCTACACCAACAGTGTCATGGAAAGTTATTAATGAGACTTATGACGAATCATCCGATCGAATCAAATTGTTAGATCATGACAATATACCAAATTCTGCTTTGGAAATTGATTTGGCTGAAAAAAGCGATCGAGGAGAATATACATGTATTGCTACTAATCAAGGCATTGGAATTACTGTTAATTCTACAACCTTGGTTCGAGTTCAAGGTATTATATAATTTTTTGAATAGATGTTAAATAAGAATAATAACTTGTATGAATTTTTTTTATTTATCTTAGTCTGTCCACTAAATGATGCATATTATGCTGTTTGTCTTTTTTTCTTTCAGATAAATTAGCTGCTCTGTGGCCATTTTTGGGTATCTGTGCTGAAGTAATAATTTTATGCGCGATTATTCTCATTTATGAAAAGAAACGCAACAAAGCTGAAATGGAGGAGAGTGATACAGATCAAAGTCCAGATCGGTAAGCCCTTTCTTTTGTAATCAACTTGCTTTGTCTTTGGACAAATTTAGTATTACATAATTATATTATTAAATACATCAATGTCATGATTCTACTTACGCCATGTGACTAATATAATTGTGGAACCATCTTATAAATTACACACAAAAAGTATGTGTAATGCAATGCAAACAGTACAATTATATATCATTGAGTGTGTATGATGCATATGTCATGTGTTTCTAGAAAAGTGATCTCAATTTTTTAAATATTTTACTTTTACATTTCGTCCCTATAAAATGTGTTAATTTAATAATTAGTTTTTCCGTTAGTTTTTTGCAAAAATTCATAAGCAGATTGCATTATATACAGTATACACCAATCACTTTCTCTTGATACTTTTTGATACTGTTTTCTGGGGATTTACCATAATTAAGCAGTTTTTCTTTTTTTCTTTACCACATTGAATTACCACTTCCGACTTTTTTTATATTGAAAAAAGTTTTCAATGCATTTACAAGAGAATTAATCAACATCTTTGTAATTTTAATAATCAAATTCAATTCAATTCAAAGTCGTGGTTTTAAAATGGTTATTCGTGACCATACTTTTAACACAATCATTCTATTAGATCTACTTAAACTTATTTCATTTATTTAAATTTTCCTGTTATGATAAAAAATAGAAAAATCAATTTTGTTGAAGTTTGTCATCTATTGAATTTTTCTTGTCCGATTTCAGCTAACCTTAATTAAATTCCTCGTCCTATCACTTCTTTACATATCATATAAAAATATTAAAATATACTGAATTATAAGTGTTTTTTTGTCCTTTTTTAAGAAATGCATCATGATTGATGAGAATGCTAAAATCTTATTTTCAATTATAAGCATTTTTTATAATCCTCATGAAAATACCATTTAATCGATTTTTTTAAATTATATGTTGATTATTACTTTACGATTTTGTACATATCATGATACCCATCCTTACTTTTCCTATATCATGCCTATATCCTTCTAATCCTTCTTTCTAAAGAAAAAAGAAAAATTATGAAAAATTGCCAGAAGTAGTGTGGATTCCACTTCATGCGCCAGAGATTTCTGCGGATGATACTGATATTGCTACAGAAAGTTTAGTTTCACGAAGAAATGTTAAATTTGATGATGATGATGATGATGATGATGATAATGATGATGAAAGTGAAAAGTTGGAAGATGGAAGCATTAGAGGTGTTGAAAGTGAAGGTCAATATAAAACCGAAGATGCAGGTGAAGTACAGTCCCCTTCAGATAGACTAAGAGCATTTGTGAGAAAACTTAATAAAGAACTGGAGCACCAGAAATTAGAAGACAATGATGCTAAAAAAATTGAAATAATCGAGGGCACTATAAAGCGTGTTGAAGGTTCTATTAAAAGAGTTGAAGGCTCTATCAAGAGAGTGGAAGGCTCAATTAAACGTGTTGAAGAATCTATAAAACGTGTGGAAGAAACTATAAGCAAAGATGATAAGCAAGGTAGAACATTACATGAAGATGAGAAAGATGTTCATGATACTGACAGCATAGAAGCAATTGAACGAGAAATTGTTCAAAATTCAACTAAGGAAAAATCTAAAGATAGTAGATCTCATGATATGATGGAAGATCAAAAGCAAGTTCAGGATCAAAATGATGAGGAAAGTGTTCATGTGGCTGACAGTGTAGAAACAATTGAACGAGAAATTACTCCAAGAATTGCTAAGAAAAAAGATAAAAAAACTGGAACTCATAAAACGTTAGATGATCAAAAAGCCTACCAGAATCAAGAGGATGAAGATAATGTTCACGATACTGATAGCATAGATACAATTGAACAAGAAGTTGCTCCTAAAACTTCTAAGAAAAAGTCTAAAGATATTAGAACTTCTAAAGTGCAAGGTCGAAAGTACAATCAGAATGAAAAGGATGAGGATATCGATCATGATTCTGACAGCATAGAAACCATTGAACAAGAATTTGCTCCAAAACAATCTAAAAAAAAATCTAAAAATATTAAAACTCCAAAAATAACAGAAAGTCGGAAGAACGATCAGAATCAAAAGTATCAAAGATATGTTGAGAGATATGAAAAAAAAATTGAAAATTTTGAAAAGCCGGTTGGTAAAAAACGTTCAGCTCGACCTTTCGAGCCAGTTGCAGGTCCGAGTCGTGTAAGATCACCAATGGAAGGATATGAAGTTATTAGAAGAAAGAAAACTAAAGAAAGACCGGAGCTAAAACCAGATGAAGACGATGAGGATTTCCAAGATAATGAATCGAATATATCATATGAAGAAGAAAAATTGTGCATTATCTTATAACCGGTGACTTTATAGCTTTACCCCTACAAAATTGAGTTCGAAACTTTCAATGTAATTATATTTTACTCATAAACAAAATAACTAATACTTAATTATTGAGCAAATTTATTATTCTTTTTTATATCACACTATGTTAGCTCAATGATTGGAAGAAAAATTGAACTGAATATATTATTAATCATAATTGTGTTTTTTCAAATTAAAACATTTTTACTGTTTTAATGATATGTTTTACTACTAGCGTTGTGACGAATTAAAATTATTTATTAGTTGTGTAAATTATGTTTCTGAATCCGAATGCAAGAATATTGCCTCGAAATCATTTATGAACTTAGTTTGTTCTTTGCAGTGTTTAATATTAATTCATTTGTACATAGTTTTTCAAGTTCAATCATAATTTCCCATCATATTTTTCCAAATTTTCTATAAAAAATTTCATGAATTTTGTTACAGAAAAAATACTCCTGATCACATGAAGGACACTGATGTGAGGCATAGGAAGTAAACCAAAAATTTAATCTAGTTGAATAAAAGTTAATGCACCAGAGTAGAAGTAATCAAAGAGCAAAAATTAAAATTCATTTACATATATAAAAATAATTCATATTTAATATCAATAACAGTTATAACAAAACTTACTAACAAATTAACCTAGTTGTAATATTACATAGAAGAAAACCAGCAACTCAGGTTTATATAATATAAATTTAATACCTTAATATATGAATTTGAATATGAGGTTTGACATATTTTGGAGATGTACTAGTCTAAATGTTTTATTTGTTTCTTTCTACAGTTAATCAATTTTTGACATTTTATATTTTAATATTGAATAATTTAATTTTTATTATTTGGCTCTCGGATAATCAGTCAATAAAAACAAATTATGAATGATTGATATTTAACATGCATCTTATTATTATACTATTTTTCTTTGAGTGTGTATGATGCTCCGTGTTATTATTTTGAGCTCGACTCCATACGGAGTCTATGCAAAGCATATATATATGCGAGTGTGTGTAAGAATATTTTTCAAAGATTATATTTGCTTTACTTTTTAATAGATAATATTATATTTTTGTTAATGTTAATGACTATATTATGGTTATTTTGATCTTTTTGAGCTCCTCTATTTATGAAATTTTATGCTGAGACAAAATTGCCGGTAGTGTTAAGTGTGCATTCATGCCATAACTCCAAACTTTTGTTAGAATAATTTACAATTTTATGTCAGAGGTATTATATAGTTTGTAAAACAATTTAATAAATGAAAAATATTTTAACAAACCATTATTGACTACTATTAATTCAATAATGATTCCAGAATTGTTAATTTGCCAGGTATATAACTATTGATATTTTTTCATTTTCAGTAAAAAGTAATAAAGCAAGTGCATCTTCAACTACTTTAAACAGAAAGAAAATCGGAGGTTTCTATATTGATTCAAGATTGTTTTGAAAGTTTATTTCAAAAATTAATTTATATGATATTAAATTCAAACTGAGGTAATATACAAAATACACATAATGATAAAAATCATTTCTTTTTATTGGATATTTTGCATGATGTTTAATTTGTTACAATATATAGGTTAAGTAAAAAAAAGAAACATAATGTTCATAATCCTAAATTAAGCGTAATATTTAATAGTTTGTACTGGTTATTTAGTCTTTAGCATCACCAATACCATCAGCATTAATTGAAAACATTGCTTCACTCTCTGGTAAGCAGGGAGAATCGTATATTTTGCAAATTCTGTTCTCTCCTCTTCCTTTACGAAGATATAGTCTCGTTGTAGATGCATGTGCCATTATATTTCCTCCAATGGGTTTCTTAGGATCGGCTGAAAACATGGAAGCTCCGTCTACTTGAGCTACTACTTGATTTGTAATCAATACTGCTACACCAAATTCATCTGCTATTCTTAATAACATCCGCAAAAATCGAGCTAAATGCATTTGTCGTGCAGATAGTTCACCTCGGCCAGAATAATCGGTTCGATACAATGCTGTAGCACTATCTACAATTAGTAATGCATATCTGAAATTAATTTCATAATAAATTTAGTAAGTTATAGAAGAAATTTTTATAAAATAACTTTCAAATGTTTCAAAAAATTGAATATTGAGTAAATGATACACACACACACACACACACACACACACACACACATATATATATATATATATATATATATATATATATATATATATATATATATATATATGGTCTAATGTAAAGATTTTAGTTCATATGAAGATAATTGTTTGATGCATGTACATGCCTGGATTCAGACATCATTGCAGAAGCATATATTAAAAGTTGTGTTTGATGATCTGTATTATATGCTCGTGCATATGCAATATTATCTAACACATCGCTACCAGATAATTTGTAACGGTCAGCAACAGCCAATAACCTGTCAGGTCGAAATGTTCCCTCAGTGTCTATATATAAACATTTGCCTTCACCTCCATTTTGATCTATAGGTAACTGCAAAGAATTAATTTAAGAATATTTAATTAATAATTAGTCTGTTACGAGATTGTGAGAAAACATTAATATTTTGATGTTATTGAATTTAACACAAAAATATATTTAAAATAAATCTAGAAAATATTTTAACTAATAACTAATTATTTGAAAAGTAATGAAATCTATTTTAAAATTCTTATGGAATATAAGATATTTTTGTTATAGATAATGCAGTTAATTATAATACTGATAATTCTTTGTGAAATATGTTTACCTGGCAATTTACAGCTAATGTATGGCATAATTGTGTTTTCCCTGTACGAAATTCACCAAAAACTTCCGTTATTGATCCAGTTTCAATACCTCCGCCCAATAGTTTATCTAGCTCCTTTGAACCTGTTGTTAACAATATTATTTCTGATCGTTTTTGATGAAATTCTGTTGCTGTTGTAAACCCCATAGGCACAAGCTTAGCAGCTTCGGCTAATAGTTTATCAGCTTTAGCTTCGGATATTCCTTTTATAGTTATAAGACTCTTTTTTGGTGCGAATGCTATTGATTCTACAGTATAGTATCCAGCTTCTTGTAACTTCTTAATATCCCCACTTGTAATACCATTACCCTAAAATTAGTATCTCTTCAATAATGATCGCATGAATGTAAATTTCAAATTACTGACAATTTATAAAAGACTTTCAATATTGAAATATAATTTATTTTAAAATCCAGTATTATTAATCATAGAGAAAAGAAATGCAGAGTAATAAAGGTGTACGGATTTTTGCAAAACTCTTCTAGTAGTCTTGGCATTGTTTTTCTTTTTTTGCAAAATACTACACTATCACTACATGTATATGAGTATCATCTTAAAATATTAAGAGTAATCATACCATCAATTATAGCAAAATGTGCAACAATTCAAAGCTTCTGTATACCAATAAAACTATATTTTTATACCGTTGTCTCAAAACACTTGTAACTTTAGTATTATATAAATTTAGTGTAAAAAAGAGTAATGTGTTCATTATAAAAATAATATATCTTTTAAGTAGTCCTAAAATAAATTACAACTAAGCTGGAAATAGTAAACTCATTTCAATTAAGGGGTAAAACTCTGGAACACAAAAGATTTTTGGCGCAAATCCGAGAATTTTTTATCTTGTATGAATTAACTAAACAATTTCAAAACTGAACTGTAAAAAAAATTAATTAAAAAAAGCCCTGAGCCAACAAGTAAATAAATTAAGTTATTGCAATATCTATAATTGTGAAAATTATAACCTCTATCTTAGAAATTAATTGTGGTCCACATTCATCTTCTTGTTGGTTAGATTCTGTGATTGCAAATTCCGATCTGCTTGCTGATGCTGACATGTTACTTAATTTAAAAAATACTTTTTTCGTAAATTAGTTACTAAATAATAATATTTTCGGTATCATTATTTAATTATTTAGATTCCAACGTCTAAACAGCTGTCAGATTTTTGAACGACCTTGCACAAAGCGATTCTTGCTAAAACCCGCTAAAACCTTCTAGGATGACAGCTGCAAAGTGCTGTCAACAAATTCCATTTTATGTTTATTTATTCAGAAACTAATTATTTCATTCAATGGAATACAGTTTATACTTGTTTATTTATGGTATTTACATATGCAAAAGTCTTTATGTGATACTATTAAAACTGCCAATCGCGTTTTGAAGTGTCAAAGTAATACTTTTAACATCAGAATTCTTTAATTTCGATAGCTAATTATATAATGTGTGTATCATAGATAAAAATTATTAGGTTGCATCTTTGTACGGAACCCAAAATAGTTTACACAAAATGTGTACACATTTTTAAAATCTCTATAAAATATCTGATAATTTGATGTACATATGTCCAATAAACATTTTTGACCGCCAAAATCCAAATGGCAATTTTTTAACTTATTAACTTCCCTTAGGGCAAATTATAGTAATCGCAAAAAAATCGAAAATGAAAATTGTTATATATATTCACGTTTCAAAGGTTTCTGAACATTTTAGCATACTTTAGAAAAAAATGATATATGTGTGTGTGCATGTGTGTGTGTGTGCGTGCGGGTACAAATTTTCGTCGACGATTTCGGGAACACGGTTCAGCCGATTTCAATTATTCAAAAAACATTCGATTGCTGTTTATAAGGAGACGTGCTGATTAGATTTTGGCATAGCCGTTTTGAAGATACGGGGCAAAAAGTGCCACAAACGGTAACTCAGTTTTTAGAGAACGGAGTGTCCGATTTTAATTATTCAAAAAAGATTTTACTTATATTGACAAGATGAAGAACTGATTAAATTTTCATAAAGGCAGGTCTAGCGGTTTCGGAGATCTAGTGAAAAAAGTAAAAACTAGTTGGTATTGGTATTTAGCCTTGAGGCAATTGCTAACTTAAGTTACATAAACTTCTCGATATGTGTAAATAATCGACTTAATCAATAAAATATAAATTAATTTAGGAGTGATTAAAAGTGTTCCGAGTGGATTTATTACACATCGAACGAACACTCTAAATTAAATTATCCAAGTAAATTATTTAATTTTCATTTTAACAAACGTCAAAAAAACTACTCATTTTCTTAAACTTTATTGAATTTTTAAAGTTAAACTACTTGTCGTAAGACCGTAATATTTCAGTAAGTTCTATAAACCGTGATATATATCGCCAAAAAAAGTTCCATAAAAATCAGCTTAAATTTTTTTTTCAACAGTGAATTACGGGAAAACGGCTCGGTAGATTTTCACTTAAAACAAATCAGTATCATTCCCAACTAATTTCTTTCGAACAGTTTTTGATTTTTTTAAATCGATTCGGTAGTATGAGCTTAAATGTAGACGAAAAGTTTAACACTTTTTTCCAAATTACAAAAAAACGGCTCGGCAGATCCTCGTACAAAATTGACAAAAGATAATCTACACCAAAATGCATCGGTTGTCTTTTAAATTTTTGAAATCGGTATAGCCCCGTTTTTGAAAAAACATCGATGAAAGTTCTAATTTTGACAAACGTCAAAAAAACAAGACTAATGTTTGCAAACTTTGACGAATTTTCAAAATTAAACGACTTGTCGTAGGGCCGTAATATTGTAGTATAATCTAGAAGACCATGATATCTATCACCAAAAAATTCATGAAAATTGTCGAAAAATTTTTTTTTAACACTTTATTACAAGAAAACGGCTCGGCCGATCTTTACCAAAAACTAATCAGGTCGATTCCCAACCAATATCTTTTGAACGATTTTTGAATTTTCAAAATCGATTCAGAATTGCGGGCTAAAACGTGGACGAAAAATTTTTCACTTTTCTTCTATTTACAAAGAAACGGCTTGTCTGATCGTTGCGCGAGGTATATCGAATGGCCTTTAAATTTTTGAAATCGGTGCAGTCGTTTATGAGAAAACGTTAATTTACGGCAAAAAGTCTGTTCACATACACGCACACACACACATACTTTTTTCCAAATTTGGTCTCATTCGATTCAGAATGGCTTGAAACGTCGAGAAAACATAAAATTAGCGAATCGGATTTTTTGATGAAAACATGAACTTCTCCTTCGGGAAGTTAAAAAAGCCATTTGACGGTCAAAAATGATCATTAGATCATATGTACATCAAATTATCAGATATTTTATAGAGATTTTAACAATAAGTTAACCATTCGAAAGGATCAACGCGGAAAAAAAGAAAGAGTTAACCAATACTCTTCTTTTATCTATGGATTTAACTCTTACCAGTGTAAATGACTGTGTTCTCGATTATGTTGAAATTTCAACAAGTGCCAGTACTCAGGATGATTTTAGAATGCAATCTTATGATCATCACGATCAAGGTAATTATAATTAAATCTTATATAATTAATATTTAATAATATTTTAGTTTTAGCATGTATTCAGAATGATTTTGGACCGTATTCTAGATTATATGAGAATATACTATACGAGAAAAAATTAATGTTTACATTATTATTGCCGAAAAGCATCTGAGATGTGCCAGAAATTCAAACTACTTGGTATTTGTACTTAATCTTACTACCGATATTTGTAATTAATTGACTTGATCAATAAAAAATAAATTAATTTATGGGTGATTAAAAGTATTCCGAGTGGATTTATTACCCATATTTGAAAAAAAAAAACAAACACGTTAACGTTAACACGGAATATTTTTTAAAAGCAAATTTTCAAAAATCAACAATTTTTATGATTGAACCAGCTTCCGTAGTACTTTAATGGTTTAGTATGTTTATTAAGACTAAGTACTCTATCGTTATACCAAGTAAATCGTCTTATTTATATTTTAGCAAACGTCAAAAAACTACTCATTTTCTCAAACTTTGATGAATTTTTAAAATTAAACTACTTGTCGTAAGGCCATAATATTTCAGTAAGCTCTATAAGACCATGATATATATCACCAAAGATCCATAAAAATCAAATTTATTTCAACAACGAATTACAAGAAAACGGCTCGGTAGATTTTCATCTAAAACTAATCAGTATCATTCCCAACTAATATCTTTCGAACAGTTACCGAATTTTTAAAATCGGTTCGATAGTATGAGCTTAAATGTGGACGAAAAGTTTAACACTTTCTTCCAAATTACAGAGAAACGGCTCGGCCGATCGTCGCACAAAACTGAAAAACGATACATCAAATCGAGATACATCAAATGCTTTTTAAATATCTGAAATCGGTTAAGGCGTTTTTGAGCTAAGGTTGATGAAAGTTCTAATTTTGATAAATACCAAAAAGACCATACTAATTTTTGCAAACTTTGACGAATTTTTAAAGCTAAACCAGTTGTCGTAGGGCCGTAATATTTTAGTATGATCTAGAACAGGGGTCGGCAAGCTTTTAACTGTGGTGTGCCGAGCCACTCTACCAATATGATTCAGGGTGCCACCTGAAACATATAACCAGGTTCTGGGGGAGAAAAATTATACCCAAATTTATCTTTTAAACATTTTTATTAACTAGTGGGGTGCATGGCATCGTGCCTTAATTCAAATTGCTAGAACTTCCCATACTGAAATTAAAAATCATGGTACTGAACCCAAAAAAAAATTACACAAAATATATGTACACAGTATTAAAATCTCTATAAAATATCTGATAATTTGATGGGTGTAAAAATACTACAATGGGTGTAAAAATACTACAATGGGTGTAAAATTACTACAATGTTTGTAAACAATACTACAATGGGTGTAAAATTACTACAATGGGTGTAAAATTACTACAATGGGTGTAAAAATACTACAATGGGTGTAAAATTACTACAATGTTTGCAAAAATACTACAATGGGAGTAAAATTACTACAATGTTTGTAAACAATACTACAATGGGTGTAAAATTACTACAATGGGTGTAAAAATACTACAATGGGTGTAAAATTACTACAATGTTTGTAAACAATACTACAATGTGTAAAATTACTACAATGGGTGTAAAAATACTACAATGGGTGTAAAATTACTACAATGTTTGTAAACAATACTACAATGGGTGTAAAATTACTACAATGGGTGTAAAAATACTACAATGGGTGTAAAATTACTACAATATTTGCAAAAATACTACAATGGGAGTAAAATTACTACAATGTTTGTAAACAATACTACAATGGGTGTAAAATTACTACAATGGTGTAAAAATACTACAATGGGTGTAAAATTACTACAATGTTTGTAAACAATACTACAATGAGTGTAAAATTACTACAATGGGTGTAAAATTACTACAATGGGTGTAAAAATACTACAATGGGTGTAAAATTACTACAATATTTGCAAAAATACTACAATGGGTGTAAAATTACTACAATGTTTGTAAACAATACTACAATGGGTGTAAAATTACTACAATGTTTGTAAACAATACTACAATGGGTGTAAAATTACTACAATGGGTGTAAAAATACTACAATGGGTGTAAAATTACTACAATGTTTGTAAACAATACTACAATGGGTGTAAAATTACTACAATGTTTGTAAACAATACTACAATGGGTGTAAAATTACTACAATGGGTGTAAAAATACTACAATGGGTGTAAAATTACTACAATATTTGCAAAAATACTACAATGGGAGTAAAATTACTACAATGTTTGTAAACAATACTACAATGGGTGTAAAATTACTACAATGTTTGTAAACAATACTACAATGGGTGTAAAATTACTACAATGGGTGTAAAAATACTACAATGGGTGTAAAATTACTACAATGTTTGTAAACAATACTACAATGGGTGTAAAATTACTACAATGGGTGTAAAAATACTACAATGGGTGTAAAATTACTACAATATTTGCAAAAATACTACAATGGGAGTAAAATTACTACAATGTTTGTAAACAATACTACAATGAGTGTAAAATTACTACAATGGGTGTAAAAATACTACAATGGGTGTAAAATTACTACAATGTTTGTAAACAATACTACAATGAGTGTAAAATTACTACAATGGGTGTAAAATTACTACAATGGGTGTAAAAATACTACAATGGGTGTAAAATTACTACAATGTTTGCAAAAATACTACAATAGGAGTAAAATTACTACAATGTTTGTAAACAATACTACAATGGGTGTAAAATTACTACAATGGGTGTAAAAATACTACAATGGGTGTAAAATTACTACAATGGGTGTAAAATTGATATGTGGAACCAAAAGGTGAAAGGATAACGCACGCAATTTTCTTTAAACAATTAAATATTTTCGACAATGTCATCCAACAATTTAATTTTCCATGGAGTCGTCTTCCTGATTTTTTCGTAATTCCTTAAATTTTGTTTTCCATAATTCTAAAGATATTAGTTCCATAATTTCCATTTCAAAATCATCAACATTCATCCACTCAAAAATTGAAAAATCAAACGGTATTTTTGATGGATCTATGAAATCTGGTTTTATGAGGAAGGAAAATTTAGGCACATAAGCTTTAAAGTCTTTGCATCTGGAAAATTCATCTTTAAGTGCTTCAATGTAGATTGAATTATATTAGCGAGCTACATTAGATAAGTAATTATATTTCAACATTTTTTCTTATTTAAAAATCACTTCGTCTCGATATATTTGCGATTGCCCTGATTATTTTGTAGAGTGCCATGCAGAACGCCGTCGCGTGCCAAGCCTGGCACGCGTGCCGTAGGTTGCCGATGCCTGATCTAGAAGACTATGGTATCTACCGTCAAAAAAATAATCATAAAAATCGTAGATTTTTTTTTAAAAACTTTATTACAAGAAAACGGCCCGGCCGATCTCTACCACAAACTAATCAGAACGATTCCCAACCAATATCTTTCGAACGGTTTTTGAAGTTTCAAAATCGATTCAGAATTGCGGGCTAAAACGTAGACGAAATTTTTTTCACTTTTATGCGATTTATAAAGAAACGGCTTGGCCGATCATCGCAACTGACAAACAATAGTCCTCATCGAGGTACATCGAGTGGCTTCTAAATTTTTGAAATCGGTACAGCCGTTTTAGAGAAAACGTCGATTTACGGCAAAAAATCTGTTCACACACATACACACATACTTTTTCTAAATTTGGTTTCATTTGATTCAGAATGGCTTGAAACGTCGAGAAAACATAAAATTAGCGATTTGGATTTTTAGTCAACGAGGACTAAAGCCTCGGAACTTGCACATTTCACAAGTCGTGGCAAAAATTACTTAGTTTTACTTACATTTATGTTCAACTAAAACTATCAATTTTCTTTTTACATCTTACAAAAAATGATAAAAATTCATAGTGTGGACAAGTTAGATGTATAAATGTTAGTGCTAATTTCTAGTGTTGTGTACACATCTTAGATGTAACCTACCAACGTTAATATCCACTGATGATGATTGATGACATTAAATTGAATGTCAAAACGTTTGGAATTAGAGATTAATTTATAAATCTTTGCTTTTTATTTTTTGATGTATCGCTCCACAAGAACTTACTCATATATCTCAACATCAAAATTAACAACTAAATCATATATATATATATTAATCATATATATACAAATGGTATGTGAGCAATAACATTCTGGAATAGGTCGAATAAAAACTATATGCCGCTTGATCACTAGTGCGATACTTAGGCCATGTGTCTTATTAGCTGAGAGTGTGTTCTTAACATGAATTCATTCAAAAATTGTAAATTATACAGGTTACAAATGTCTAAAAAAGCATCGAAATATAAATCAAGCACATTTTCTGCAGCACTTTTCTCAAACGAAATTTCATAACTTCTTGGCTCGCCAAAAGATGAATGCCACGAACGCTAATCGATTTTATGAGCAAACGCAGCTTGTGAAAAATACGTGGAGACGATATTTGATTTTATGATATCATTTCCTGCACATGTTCATACGCACGTCGTCGTTTGCAAATTTTATTTGAAATGTATAAATTGATTTTATGACTTGATTGCATTTTGAACCAGAACTAGACACAGGATGAAGAAACGTTGCCTAACAATCAGTTTTCGAACCCATCTCGGCCTGCTTGATATCAAACTCTAAATTTTATATTTTAGTTAAATTGTAAACCAGAACTAGCTATAGTCTACTAACTAGAATACACACTGGTTTCGGATTCGAAATTCATCTCGGCTTGCTTGATATGAGACAGTAGATTTAATAATTTTATTATATATTGAACCAAACGTTGTCTAACTACCACTCCGGGTTTTAAAACCATCTCGGACTTCTTGATATCACACAGTAGTGCTATAAGTTTTTCATTTGAAATTATTAACTTCCCGTAGGGTAGTTATAGTAATGAGCCGAAAATCTAAAATACAAATTTTTGCATTTCTCGACGTTTTGAAGGTTTCTGAACATTTTCTCATACCTTGTTTTGTATGTCCGCATTTTTTCGCCGACGTTTTCGGGCGCACTGATCAACCGATTTGAATGGTTTAAAAAACATTCGATTCCTATTGATAGGGAGATGATTAGTTTTTTTCTGATTAGTTTTTAGCAAAGCAGGTTCAGCCGTTACGGAGATACAAAGCAAAGAGTGCAGAAAATACAAATCGAATTTTTGAAAAAACGAAGTATCCGATTTGAATGATCTAAAAGTATTCAATTTGTAATGATTGGGAGAAGAGGTGATTAGTTTTTAGCGAAGCCAGGCCTAGCCATTTCGAAGATATAGAGCTAAATGTGCAAAAAATAGCAGTTTTTGAGAGAACTAAGCGTCCGATTTGAATTATTCATATAACTTTCTGCTTGTTTCAACAAAATAATAGCTTTTAGAGAAATCTTTTTTTTTGTTTTGAAATTTTTTTTTCAAAAAAAAATTGTTTTCAAGATTTTTTTTTTTGTATATCGGAAAGAATTCAGATTTTATTTTTAATTCTGTTCTAATATACTTTAAACAAATAATTTCAACTTTGCAATTCAGTTTATATAATATTTATAAATATTAAACAATGTTACAATATTTATAAAAATCTAAAACATTTAATATTCCTCGAACCATACCATACCATACACTACTAGTTTATGTATTCACATCACTATTAAAAATATAACCAATATATCTAAACGTATAATTTTTGTACATTGGGCCATATTTGTCAATCACATTACCAATCAAGATTAATCTTAGATTTACATTGTATTACAATGTGATGATAATGCTGAAAAAGGAGCACGTACAAGTTGCGTATTAAATTTTCTTTGGCTCTATAATAATAATTGTTTTGCATTTTTATCGCTACTATTTCATTTGAATGTTTATATATTTTATTATGTTTAAAAAACAGCTCTCATAAAACTCCTGTAGTATTTTCGAAGGACGTACTTATTTGAATATTTTATCCGTGATTGCACAGTATCCCCACATTGAATCTTTTTTAATCTTAAATACTAATTCTAATTAATCATTAGCAGTGGCGTCGGAAGCAAATTTTTGATGGGTGGGCTCGTTTTTTTTTCAGCCCCCCTATCAAAAAACATGGGTGGGCTCAAGCCCACCCAGCCCACATGGTTCCGACGCCACTGATCATCAGATATCTTTATCAGAGGCGTAGAGGTCTCAATTTTTTTATGAATAAAATTTAGAAAGATTTTTTTTAATTTACAAAAGATTTATTTAACACGTTCACGCCGGGGCCGATTTTCGTTTGTTTTGTTATGAGGCGGCTCTGAAATGAACATTGCGCTTCATCTGGCGGCGCGTGATTATTGCCTATTCAGACCTGCATACGCCTTGTTTGTTGCTCTGCAGTACAGTGAGATCTTATTGTGCAAGTTTTGTAACTCGTGCCGTTTTTTTCATTCTGTGACCACAAATTTCCGACAGTAAATATAATTAGAAAGGTGATTAGAATGTTTTTTTAATTTTTACCCTTATAAAAAATGGATAACATGGATATGGAAATAAGTGATTCGGATGAATCTATAATTAGAAGCAAGAAAAGAAAAGTGGCAAGATTACGAATAGTTTCTTCCTCTTCAGACGAGGATTTTGTTAATTTTATCAATGAAGAGAACGAGTATTCCACGGAGGAAGAATATTTGATTTCTAAATCAGAGAACGAGGATCACGATGAAGAATGGCAGGAAGTAAAAAAAGAACCGTATTAATAAATGAGTATTCGAAAGAAGAGGAATTTTTACATAAAAATATTGACTGTAATGACCCTTTTGCCTTATACAAACTATTCTTCACGGATTACATACTAGAGACTATAGTTGATGAAACAAATAAATATGCTACTCAAAGTATAAATAATTCTTCATCTAGCAGTAGAATACACTAGCAGGGCTGGCAGTCTATTACAAGAGATGAAATGAATACTTTTTTTGGCATATTGCTTATTATGGGTATTGTGCAATTGCCAGAAATTAGATTGTATTGGTCAAACAACGATATGTATGCGAACACACGCATAAAAAAGGCAATGACACGTGACCGTTTTCTATCTATTCTTAAGTTTTTACATTTTTCGGACGATACCACAGCCAGAACTGAAGATCGAAGAAATTCGAAATATTATTGAAGCAATTGTAGATAATTTCAAGAGTTCTATAAAACCAGGCAAAAATATTGTTATCGATGAAAGTATGGTCCCCTGGAGAGGACGTCTAGGCTTTCGCCAATACATCCCAGGCAAGCGACATAAGTATGGCGTAAAAGCATACAAATTGTGTTTACCTGAAGGCTACACTTATAATTTCGAAATTTATGCTGGGAAAATGGACAGATCATTGAAAAATCACATCCCCATGACGTAGTAATGAGATTATTGAGTGGCTTATTATTTGAGGGCTGCACACTATTTATTGATAATTATTATACAAGTGTCCCTTTGGGTGAAGAGCTTTTAGAGAAAAATACATTTTTTTGTGGTACTGTAAAAATAAACAGAAAAAGTCTACCACCGCAGGCAAAAACAAAACAAAAACGTGGTGAAATGATAAGCTTTGAAAATCGTAGTGGTGTAAAATTTTTGAAATGGACGGACAAAAGACCAGTTTGCATGTTAACTACCTCAAAGAATCACCAGTGTAAATTTGTGCAAGGAATAAATGACCGAGTAAAGCCCGATGCTGTGTTTGACTACAATATTGCAAAAAAAGGTGTCGATTTATCAGATCAACTATCGGCGTACTACAGTTGTTTTCGAAAAACCATTAAGTGGTACCGAAAAATAATAATACAATTAATATGCGGAACTTCCCTCGTGAATGCGTGGTATATTCATAAAAGATGGGGCACTAAAAATATGACTATATTAAGATTTAGGGAAATTATTATCGATAATCTTTTGTCCAATGAACAAATATGCCGTCATATACCGTCACATAAACACGTTCTTCAATCATATAAAGGATCGGCAAGAGACACCCGTAAACGCTGCAAGGAATGCTATAAAAATATGTGTAATAAAAAGGGCAGAGCTTATGCAACTAACAATACTAAAAGGGTTAAGACGTATTGTGGACTTTGTGAGGGACAGCCAGCACTTTGCTTGGAATGTTTTAACAAATTACACAAAAAACAATAAATAATGCAGTTATAAATAAAACAATATTAGATTTTATGTTATTTTAACCGTATTTGAATTTTTTATATAATACTGTATTATTATGTTTGTTATTGAACAAAACTGTTCTGATACATTTTTGATTATAATTATTATTAAAAATAAATGTTTTTAATGACGGTTTAGTGTGGGTCACCGGTGACCCGCGCCGCCCGATGAGACAGTTTAGTGTGGGCCACCGGTGACCCGCGCCGGATGAGACAGTTTAGTGTGGGTCACCGACCCGCGCCGGCGCGAACGTGTTAAGTCAATTATAACATATTTTGAGAAGTTCATGCAACTTGCCTCAAGGCAAAAAGCCACGTTCAACAAGTTTAAAAACCGTCACGCCGTTATTTTGCAACCGTCTTTTGTTATTCCAGAAATTCTCCACCGTGCCATTGAAAGCATTTTATTTCGGCAATATGTATTCGATTCACCGAATTCTATTCGGTATGGGTATATCAGTGGTAGGGTGAGTGCGCGCTTAGCGTCCTAGTTGATCGCTGCGGTATAGACTTTCGCCGGATAAAATTCTATTTCGCAGGATTAAATTCTATTTGGCATGAGAGCGAGGAAATGCCGATGAAAAGCCGAAGAATTGGTTTCGCTCGACGCGTGACGCGGTTTTTGTGAACTATTCACTGGACTCGGAAAATCGTTATTGACAAAGTACCAGGGACACAGGTATTTTGTTGCAGGCCGGTTGCAAAAGCTCAAAACAAATGTAATGTATATACACACACACTGTAATATACATATATACACACCAAACACACACTCACATAAAACTCACACATATTCATTCTGTCGTGTTTTGACTAAGCATGTTTAATATTTAATAACTTATCGAAACTATGTACAGATTGTCCTCAGTCATCTCAAATTGAACTAGTTGGTTTGGTATTTTGCCTTGAGGCAAGTTACATGAACTTCCCGATATGTGTAATTAATCGACCTAATCAATCAAAACTAAATTAATTTATGATTGAAAAAAAATATTGATAAAATTAAAAATTGATAAAAAGTATTCCAAAAACCAACATTTTTTTTCTCATTTTTTTTCCCAAAAATTTTTTTGATCAAAATTTTTTTGACCAAAATTTTTTTTCCAAAAATTTTTTTTCCAAAAATTTTTTTTCCAAAAATTTTTTTGACCAAAAATTTTTTTGACCCAAATTTTTTTGACCAAAAATTTTTTTGACCCAAATTTTTTTGACCCAAATTTTTTTGACCAAAAATTTTTTTTGACTAAAAATTTTTTTTGTGTAAAAATTTTTTTGACCAAAATTTTTTTTTCAAAAATGTTTTGACCAAAAATTTTTTTCCAAAAAATTTTTTTCCCATAATTTTTTGGACAAAAAAATTTTTTTGATCAAAATTTTTTTGACCAAAATTTTTTTACAAAATTTTTTTTGACCAAAATTTTTTTGACCAAATTTTTTTTTCCCGAAATTTATTTTCCCACAATTTTTTGACCAAAAATTTTTTTGACCAAATTTTTTTTCCCCAAAAATTTTTTGACCAAAATTTTTTTCCAAAAAACTTTTTTTTTCAAAATTTTTTGGACTAAAATTTTTTTCACAATTTTTTTTTCCCAAAATTTTTTTGACCAAAAATTTTTTTCCAAAATTTTTTTGACCAAAATTTTTTTGACTAAAAATTTTTTTGTCCAAAAATTTTTTTGACCCAAATTTTTTTTCACAAAAAATTTTCAGACTAAAATTTTTTTGAACAAAATTTTTTTTGACCAAAAATTTTTTTCACAAAATTTTTTTGACCCAAATTTTTTTGACCAAAAATTTTTGGTGGTTTTCGCGCGACGCCACGACGATCACATTAGTAAAACGTTACAAAGGTGGTGATATTGTATATTTTAAACGAAACTAAACTAACAAGTCATATGGCCAAAAAAAAGTTGGATTGGTATAGCCTGTGTTGGCGTAAGTGGTAGAGTGGTGGCTTCGTACTAAAAGGGTACCGAGTTCAAATCCTACCTCCAGTCATAAAACGGAATTCAGCAGTACAACTAACTTTGTGGTATTTATTTATTGTTGAATAACACAAAGTAGATATAACAAACTAACAGGTCATAAGAAAAGTTGAGTTGAGTTCGTGTGGCCTGTGTTGGCGTAATTGGTAGAGTGATGGCTTCATAGCAAAATTGTACCGAGTTCGAATCATACCTCAAGGCATAAAACGGAATTCAGCAGTACGACTAAGGTTGTGGCGCTTGTTTATTGTTGAATAACGCAAAGTAGATATAACAAACTAACAGGTCATATGGCCAAAAAAAATTTAAATGGTATGGCCTGTGTTGGCGTAATTGGTAGAGTGATGGCTTCGTAGCAAAAGGGTACCGAGTTCGAATCATACATCAAGGCATAAAACGGAATTCAGCAGTACGACTAACGTTATGGTACTTGTTTATTGTTGAATAACACAAAGTAGATATAACAAACTAACAAATTATATGGCCAAAAAAACTTGGGTTGGTATGGCCTGTGTTGGCGTAAGTGGTAGAGTGGTTGCTTCGTACCAAAAGGGTACCGAGTTCGAATCCTACCTCCAGTCATAAAACAGAATTCAGCAGCACGACTAACGTTGTGGTATTTATTTATCGTCGAATAACACAAAGTAGATATAACACACTAACAGGTCATATGGCCAAAGAAAAAAGTTAATTTGGTGGTATTTATTTATTGTTGAATAACACAAAGTAGATATAACAAACTAACAGGTCATATGGCCAAAAAAAATTAAATTGATATGGCCTGTGTTGGCGTAATTGGTAGAGTGATGGCTTCGTGTCAAAAGGGTATCGAGTTCGAATCATACCTCAAGGCATAAAGCGGAATTCAGCAGTACGACTAACGTTGTGGTATTTATTTATCGTTGAATAACACAAAGTAGATATAACAAACCAACAGGTCATATGGCGAAAAAAAAGTCGGTTTGGTATGGCCTGTGTTGGCGTAAGTGGTAGAGTGATGGCTTCGTACCAAAAGGGTACCGAGTTCGAATCCTACTTCCAGCCATAAAATAGAATTCAGCAGCACGACTAACGTTGTGGTGTTTATTTATTGTTGAATAACATAAAGTAGATATAACAAACTAACAGGTCATATGGCCAAAAAAAAGTTGGATTGGTATGACCCGTGTTGGCGTAATTGGTAGAGTGATGGCTTCGTAGCAAGAGGGTACCGAGTTCGAATCATACCTCAAGGCATAAAACGGAATTCAGCAGTACGACTAACGTTGTGGTACTTGTTTATTGTTGAATAACACAAAGTAGATATAACAAACTAACAGGTTATATGGCCAAAAAAAGTTAAACTGGTATGGCCTGTGTTGGCGTAATTGGTAGAGTGATGGCTTCGTAGCAAAGGGGTACCGAGTTCGAATCACACCTCAAGGCATAAAACGGAATTCAACAGTACGACTAACGTTGTGGTACTTGTTTATTGTTGAATAACACAAAGTAGATATAACAAACTAACAAATCATATGGCCAAAAAAAACTTGGTTTGGTATGGCCTGTGTTGGCGTAAGTGGTAGAGTGATGGCTTCGTAGCAGAAGGGTACCGAGGTCGAATCATACCTCAAGGCATAAACCGGACTTCAGCAGTGCGACTAACGTTGTGGTATTTATTTATCGTTGAATAACACAAAGTAGATATAACAAACTAACAGGTCATATGGCCAAAAAAAAAGTTGGTTGGTATGGCATGTGTTGGCGTAGGTGGTAGAGTGATGGCTTCGTACCAAAAGGGTACCGAGTTCGAATCCTACCTCCAGCCGTAAAACGGAATTCAGCAATACGACTAACGTTGTGGTGTTTATTTATTGTTGAATAACATAAAGTAGATATAACAAACTAACACGTCATATGGCCAAAAAAAAGTTGAATTGGTATGACCCGTGTTGGCGTAATTGGTAGAGTGATGGCTTCGTAGCAAAAGGGTACCGAGTTCGAATCATACCTCAAGGCATAAAACGGAATTCAGCAGTACGACTAACGTTGTGGTACTTGCTTGTTGTTGAATAACACAAAGTAGGTATAACAAACTAACAGGTCATATGGCTAAAAAAAGTTAAACTGGTATGGCCTGTGTTGGCGTAACTGGTAGATTGATGGCTTTGTACCAAGAGGGTATCGAGTTCGAACCATACCTCAAGCCAAAAAACGGAATGCGATTAACAACGTGGATATATTAAACTAACAAATCATGATGCCGAAAAAAGCAGAATCTATGTGGCCTGTGGTGGCGTAATTGGTAGCATGATGGCCTTCGAAAACCCAATCCCCTAATGAATCTCGAATCATCCCCGAACAGGCGATAGGGGGGATTGCAAACCCGTGCCCCTGTGATTCCACCCCCTAAAATGGATAGGATACAACCACCTCTGAATCGTGGCAAAAGTGGGTAAGAAGAGCGAAGAAAGGAAGTGTGAGAGAGAGAGAGAGCGAAGAAAGAAAGTGTTAGAGGTGTGCGGTTACATAGCAACGGTCGCTAGGCAACCAGGATATTCGCAAAATAATATTACTGAAAAACGGTTGCTAGGCAACCGGGATATTCGCAAAATAATATTACTGAAAATTTTGTGGTAAAGGTTAACGGTTGCATAGCAACGGTCGCTAGGCAACGAAAATCGCAAAATAATTTTACTGTAAATTTTGTGTTAGAGGTTACATAGCAACGGTTGCTAGGCAACCAAAATTGCAAAATAATTTTACGAAAAATTTTGTGTTAGAGGTTAACGGTTGCATAGCAACGGTCGCTAGGCAACGAAAATCGCAAAATAATTTTACTGTAAATTTTGTGTCAGAGGTTACATAGCAACGGTCGCTAGGCAACCAGGATATTCGCAAAATAATATTACTGAAAAACGGTTGCTAGGCAACCGGGATATTCGCAAAATAATATTACTGAAAATTTTGTGGTAAAGGTTAACGGTTGCATAGCAACGGTCGCTAGGCA